GGCAAGATCTGGCCTGGACGCAATCTGGACTCAATCGACAAGAAACGACAATGAACAATTCATGCCCGTTCATCACGACAGCGTCCCGATCCACTGGACACGTGCCAGACAACACAGGACATTGTTACGATTTTGATCCGATACAGCAGAATCTGTCACGACACAGCCACGATTGTAATCCGACTAGACAAAATCGGTTGAGTTTCCCGAATGTTACGGGACGCACCATGCTGTCGGGAGTGCTTGGCCGACCTCTCTGGACCTTCCCCGATCCGTAGAACTATGCTACGAACGTATATATATATACCGCTTCACCTAAAAACTGACATTGATTTACGTTGGTAGTGTCCATTATTGAGCACATAGGGGTGCCAGCACTGTGACTGCGTTATGCATAGTTTGTTTTTGCTTTCCTATATATACTGGTATAATCTTGACTACATGGGCCTCCAAATAATATAAAACTGATCTATTATAATATCATCGTATCTTGATTGAGAATGTTTCTAGACTCCGAATAAAATGAACCTAATCTAATATAATAAAATCGTATATTGATTGAGAATAGGACTGATTGCAAATGTTACTGACCTTCCAATAATGATATATACTACCCATAAAATGAAACTGTGCAAAGAGGAAACCAAAATATGTATTGGAACAACATGTGTACACAAATACAGATGAGAAAACAGTAATTGGTAAGAGAAATGATATTTCAACACATGCGTGACGTCAGTGGTCTCGGCATGGGCACGTGCAACAGTTTATGCATGTGCATATCGATAAAATGCGTGGAGCACATGAATGTCAAAAACTGCTGTCAATTTGGGAAGCTTAATTGTTTGACGTTTGATCTTCAAAACATTAAACGGCTAATGAACCGCACAACATCATTCCACGATTCACAACGTACTCGGCGATGGATGCGAGTGACCCATCTCCGGCACAGGTTCCAGACTGCAGTGACCACTGCTCAGACCATTCCTAGGCTTTGGCGTGTCCACACCAAAACGGTAAGGAACCGCTTACATCATTACGGGATACGGCCACTTCATCATGGCGCAACGTCATCGACATAACCGTCAAAGATGGTGCCAATATCACGTCCATCAACCTCGGCTGTGGTCGAGCACTCTTGTTTTCACACAATGATATACTGTCTGTGCTGAGAATGAATTCCGACATTATCCCAATCCAGGATATTCAGCATTTCCCTACTTTTGACACCATGAGGTCGCCTATGTTCACAGAGTGAGAGAAAAGAATCAGCCTAAGCTACCCACGACACGAGCATCCATCAAACTAGAAGGCCAGTGGAAAACAACTGATGCTGGTTAAAACTTCCTCATCACGGATCACTGAGACAACAACAAACTTCTCGTCTTCACAACACCATACAATCTGGGAAGCTGAGACCATATTTGCTGATGGTACTTTCTCCTCCTCCATGCTGTTAAGTTTACACCCCCCATGCTGAACATCAAGGCATCATGTATCCTCTTGTTTACTGCGTCCTACCGAATAAGACTGAAGCTTCCTACACGGCTGCCTTCCAGGTAATTAAGAATGAAGCTGAAAATCATTTTAATCTGAAACCCCTAGCATTCCACCAGATTGAATTTGAGAAGGCTGCTGCCAATGCTGCTATTGCAGTATTTGAAGATGTCAAGATACATGGCTCCTTTTTCAATTATGCACAGGCCTTGTTTAGGAAGATCCAAAATCTAGGTCTTAATTGTTACTCTCTACAGAGAAAATGCAGAATTTAAGAAGCTTCCCCTTGTACCAGATTGACAATGTTTGGTTAGCTACAATTGCCGACAATCCACAAGGACAAATAGTCACTACGTTGATGGACTATGTGACAACAACTTGGGAAGAGTGTTTACTGGGATAAAGTGAAAAGGAACCACTTTGCTCACAGCGGTCATAAGACCATCAACATCAAAGGGTGGCATAACAAACTGCACTCTTTGACTACCTGCCACCCCAACATCTTTGATTTTGTGAAACCGATTCAGTGACAAACAATCCAGAACCAAGGTAAAACCAACCCTAGACAACCACGTAGAAACGTCCCTATGTTGCAGTCGACCAGGGGCTGCTGAGAGCTAAGGACAGACTCATCAATGGCCACTTATCTGTTTTGGACTATATCGACAGAGTTACCCAACTTCTTGGCATGTGGGATAGCTAGACTCTAAATAGATGTGTATGATTGATAGTGCTTTATTTATTTGTAACAGTATGAAAGGACACATTGTACAATAAAAGCCATGAAAGCCATCCTCTATTTATTTAAATTTTTGGTAACCCCTTAAGAATCCAGTCAAGCATAGTAAACCCACATCACCTAATTACTTTTACCTATCTTTTATCAAACAATTAAGTGACATGGGTGGACACCAGTCTGCTAGCCCATGGCTACTAAATTGTGCTGAGGACAAGTAAAACTCATTGACAAGTAGCACTTCAGGGCTACAATTCCAAACCAGTTCTCAGTGCTCCAAGTTTGCAACAAATAGGAACTGAATAAAACTGTCAGAAAATGTAAACATAGAAACATTTTTGTCTTGTTCAATCAGGACTGGCGACATATTCTCTGGACTAGTAAAATAAGGTTTTCACTTGTCCTCCTGACTAGACTAAAAGAAAATAAATTTCTAAGGCTTCTCATGACCCATAAAAACCCATCACTTTCACCTGGAGTGATCCTATTTCAGCAATATTTAGTATGCTGTCACTACTGCCCACATATGTATGGATGGAGGTTGTCATTTCTTTCCATGACTTCTAAGTACTAAAACTGAACTAAAACAGTACACAACACAAAATCCTAACAACATATTATGGCTTTATTACCAAGTACATGCTTCAATGTAGTAGTATGGACTGTCAAATGCAGATACAGGAATCAGGGAATAGTTCATTAACATATAGTTATACAGAGCCACACTTGCTTACAATACAAACAGGCAATCACAAGTAGTGGACCTATTCAAACAAGGAATTAAGATGTACATGGGAGCAAATGTTTCAAGAAATTGTTCCTCAATAATAACAATTAGCAGATGGTACCTCCAGCATCACATCAGCGCATACATTATTTCTAATCGGATGATTTTGCAACAAGCAGTTATACCAGTACTCCATAACATAAATCAAAATACCACAAAACACTTTGAACAGTGATGCCTTCAGATTACCATGGAAACCCAGAAGATACCGTACATGTCATGTTCTTTATCACATGATTTTAATAAATCACGGTGAGGATTTGAACTGATTATTGCACAATTTCAACAGCAGATGGTAAGTTAAGAAGATCTCATTCATATTGAAGCGTACCTGTCATTTTCTTTGATACAACTGATTTGATATTCCTGACAAAAAAGTCACATAACATAGGTGTGTTCACAGCATGATAAATATGAATAAATTAAACAATAATTATGTTCTGTTATTGCTGAAATTATCTTGCCAAAGGACTTTGTTGGCTTAAAAGCAAAACTATCTTAAAAAATTATCAGTGTACACCATTGATGTTTGTTGGGCTCCAATGTCAATGCTTCACAGGCTTGTAGACCCTACGTTTATCCAAAACCATGAACAAACATTGCTGCTATAAGGTGCTGTGCTGACAGGTCTAGTTTCACCCAGCTCATCCAACAAAACTGTGTTGCTCACGGCAGTCAATGAGCCCTACCCATGAACCTCTTGCACACCTTACAGCCACTGGGTGAGTGAGTGAATTGGGTTTAACACCGCTTTTAACAGTATTCCAGTTATATCGCGGCGTGTCAGCTTAATGTGGGAGGAAAGCCCGAAGTGATGCAGGTCTTAGACGTTTATCACTTCGGTGAAACCCACGAGCACTGGTATGGTGCTCACAAACCTAGAAACATAATGGGGGCGAACCGGGATTCGAACCCACAATCATAGGTTTCTGGCGTGCCCGAGGGAAGCAACTCTGCACAGCGAATCACGGCGCCTTAGACGACTGGGCCACCCGTGCCCCCCTTACAGCCACTTACAGCCATTGAAGCAATGTGTAGAGCTGATGATTAGTGAGTGAGTGAGTTGAGTTTAACACTGCTTTTAACAGTATTTCAGTTATATGAAGGTGTGTCAGCTTAATGTGAGAGGAAAGCCCGAAGTGATGCAGGTCTCAGACGTTTACCACTTCGGTGAAACCCACGAGCACGGGTATGGTGCTGACAAACCTGGAAACATAATCGGGGCGAACCGGGATTCGAACCCACAATCATAGGTTTCTGGTGTGCCCAAGAGACACTGATAACAAATTAGCACAACACACCAATCATCCGAATACAGTCAAACACTGTTGTGTCCAACTTTGATGTGTCAAACTTTCGGTTGTTTTGAAGTAAAAGCTTATCCCTTTGTATTCTTTCTTTAGACATCATTTTTCGGTTGTGTCGAACTTCCGAAAACTCGAAGTATTTACGTAGGTCCCTTCCCCTTCGACACACTGTCGCTTCACTGCATAAGTAAGGGTGATCACGGAACGTAGTGTGTACAAGCCAATTAAATAGTGACGATTTTAGGGCTGCTGTACACATCTCTGTTCAGGGAGACAACATATGATTATCATGTAACAAAAATCAGCTCATTTTACAAACTGTCATGACATAAACGCGATGTACAGCAGCAAAAGTGAAGACTTCATTGACAGCAGTCAACAACAGTCAACATCCATATAACACCACCTTTTAGGCGAAACAATTAGAAAGGAAACGGCCGAGTCCTTATCACATACTGATCAAACTTTTGATTTTGCTCTTTGCTTGATATTTAAAGGAAATAATATTCCACACATCCAAACTGAGAGGAACTCATCCTTAAATCAAGGAAAGAAATTTGGCCGGCTTTATCAGACTGTGATGTGACGTACTGCCATCAGAGAGATGTACTGATTTGTTCACTTTGCTTGTTAAGTCATGCACTCGCTGCACATGTTCAAGTTATGACTTGTTAAATTGCTCCAGATTTCACAAACCATAAGCAACAATGAAATATACAGATACCCTTAAATGATCAGCCTTTATCTTATCTGCTTAGATCACATGTCCAATATCACTATAGGAACAAACAATTCATATGTCACAAGTGCAACAAATATGTTAATCAAAAGATATCAGCGACGCCTCATTTTCCTGATGGGGAGGGGGCTGGTTCTGTGGGGGCATCTGCTGTGGAGGGGCACCCCCCTGGAACTGTCCTTGTGGGGGAGGAGGTCCCATGTATGGTTGCTGGGGGTTGTTGTATACAGCTTGGTTCTGCTGGGGTAGGGCTCCTGACATGTCTGAAACAGAAGGCATTCCATCTACAACAAGGAAGACAAGATACCCATGCATTTACAAAATAACAGAGCACAAAAGTATTTATTTCTGTTCTTTTCACAAAACTGAAACTTTGACCCTAGGTGTCACATTGTTTTGCATAAATACATACGCATCCCAATCATCCAAAATTCTTTACAAGTATTTTCTTGAGTGTTTGTTTTATTATGACCACTCAGCAATATTTCAGCTAGATGATGGGGGCCTGTAAAAAATTGTCTGGACTAGACAATCCAGTGATTGATATTGTGGCCAACGATCCACAGAGTCAGGGTACGATAACACCTAACAACCAAGTCAACGAGCCTGACCACCTGATCTATTTGGTAGGTTTGTACGACCAACATAGATTCCTGGGGACCTATTCTAAACTGGAATCATCATGTGTTTTTCTTGAAAAAACAACTTTATATGGAACATGTTGTTAATAGGTTAATCAGGTTAGAATTCTTTCAATTTTTGTTTACAAATTGTTTAGATGAAAAATCTCAGTCAGTATGTAGGGACAAAACAAAATAAAAAAGACATTACAGATTTGCATTCAGTTCATCAAAACAAATATCAATAATGCCGTATTTGTCAAGCCAATCCTGTCAGTCTTGTTAATAAAATATGGAAAATATAGTCATGGTGTGTTTTACAATTAACAATGTCTTCCAATTATCTATTTAATTCTGTTTACTATTGCTTGTCCCAACAAGATGACATAAATTATTTCACAACATGAAGCATACTCACTCTGCATGTTGTAAGTGTTGTATTCCATATTAGGTTGCATTGATGCGTAGGCCGGGGCAGCAGGTGCTTGTTGCCCCCCTGAGGGCGGCATCTGTGGGGGCATACTAGCTGGACCCTGATCAGGATATCCTACCCCACCAGGACCTGGCCCAAAATTACCCTGTGGCGGACCTGCCATTTGAACTCCATCTGTCTGTGTTTGAGATGGTAAATGGGCCTGGTAGCCCCCAGGAATTGTTGCCCCTCCCCCAGGAAGATTTGCCCCACCCCCTGCCATGCTGGCCTGTGGCGGAGCATATCCTATGTTGGGAGGTCCTGCTTGGGTGTATGCTTGTTGAGTGTTTGGGGGCATGTACATTCCTTGAGCAGGCGGGGCTCCTCCACCGGGTGGCATCATATTGGGCCCCTGTTGGTTGTAGCCACCAGTCTGGTGGACTGGAGAGCCTTCAGTGGACCCCACAGGGCTGAAACCATGGGGCGGTCCCTGTTGTTGAAGATGAGGGGGGCCTTGAGGTGGCATTCCCTGGGGTGGCATCTGGCCTGGGACCCCCTGTGGAGGCATCTGACCATACATCTGAAACAGTCCAGAATCTAGTTATTCTATAATGTACTCAAGTAGATTTTTTGGCACTGAATTCAAGTATATTACATACATAATTCACCAATGATGAACTGTCAAAATATTATCTGCATCTCAATGGATTTCTGGTCATAAAAAACACAATAGTTGCATTCATACTTTACAAATAAAACACTAGCATCTCATGCCACTTTTCTGTACATAAATGAGACCCCTGTAATAGCTGCAGGTGGTCCTGATGATTATGTGTGGCCTGTAAACAATTAAGTCTGGACCAACTAAAGGTGTGATTAATAATAACTAAAAAATAATAAACTCAGTTTAATTCGTCCTGGAAGTCCATAGTTTGCTATGACAATATTTCATAGCCAGCCACGCCCCCTACCTGTTGTGGCATGCCCTGGGGGTAGCCATATGCCTGCATCTGCCTCATCTGGGTCAGGTGTTTCTGCTGCTCAAAACGCATCTGCATCTCCCGTTCCTGCTCCTGCAGGCGCTGCAAGGCCAACTGTCGCTGCATCTCCAGGTATTCCTGTAACCAATCCAATACAGCAAGTTCTTTCAGAGAAATAATTGTTATTTTTATGTATTTGGTGAACAGATAGATTTATCTATAAACATACAAGTGTTATTTAACCTGGAACAACTTGCGATCTGCCTCAATAACACGATAGGTTTTCACAGATCATGAAAACCAGTAGGAAAAATAGAACATTTGTCTTTTGTTGTTAAATAGCAAGTTGAACTCATCTAATGGCTGCGCCACTCCGATCACATGATGACATAAAAATATTACTTGAAAAGGTTCTATTTTTGCAGCATTAAGACAATTTTAAAGGAGACTTTATTGTCATTAAATGCATATAGCACTTCACTGGAGGCTCCTTGATATACAACACTTTGATGTTGATAGAACATTCTTTCCTATTTCTGCTGTTACTGAGTGTTTACATCAATGACCATACAAAACATCCTGGATACAAACCAAACCCTCAACCTTCCCATAAACACTCTAGAAGTGCTCTACCCAATCAATGGTTATTATCATCCTTTGTTGGCTTGTCATAGTGCTTGAAGGCTTCCAGCAGTCAAACTAACATAAATCCAGGACAAGTGGATCATGTCAGCAAAAGAACCAAACTCTGCCAGTGATACCAGTGACACCACTGAACCACCCTCCCCTGAAGTGTTTCAGACTCCTTGAAGTTTGACACTTGCAGTTAAAAGCCTTGTTGACTTACATGTTTTTTCTGTCTCATGATCTCCAACTTCTGGGCCATCTGTATCTGTCTCTGACGCTCCAGCTCCTCCATCTCACGTCTACGCTTCTCGCGATGTTCCTCGCGCAGAGCATCCAGGGCCTCACGGGCATCTCGTAGCTGAGCAAGTTTGTCCTGAAGACTCTCATAGTGACCTGCACAGAGTGTTGGTGTAGTCAGTGTCATAAGGTCAATTCAGTATCCAAATTGGAACACTCATGCCCAAGGTATACAGTGCAACCCTGTCTGGACATTGGGAGGACTACTGTTGCAAATGGTTTTATCACAGAAACATTACTGCACACCCATCATTGCCCATGATACAATAATCTGGAAACATACTTACCCAGACAATATCACTGTTATGTTCAATGCTAATGTAAGTCAATAACATCTCCATTAAACATTTGAAATGTCAAGCCCATGTTGATGGATTTTTAAAGGGATAAGATTGTATCTCACTAAAGCTAGTAAACCTCTATCATTGGGAATAGTGACAAAATAGATTCTTTCTCGCAACAAAAAAATTGGAAAAAATTTCATTATAAACACAATTATTTCATGCCAATCTCACTGGCATGGTGAGGGTATTTCCATGACCAGTAACCCGAATCAGCATTCTATGCACCCTACATACAAAATGAATTTTGGTCAACCCTAAAATCAAGAACCAAAAGACCTCAGCCCTACACTATAATTTCACATCACATCACAAGCATCCTTAAGATCCTTCCTTACTTCGAAGGTCCTCTTGCTCCTGTATGTACTTCATGAGTTGAGGGTGCATGTTGCTTATAACAGCAAACAATGACTGCACAGATGAGTCATTGGCAATGCTGCGACCACGCTGAGAGTTGCTGCGCATTCGGTTGACGAAAATCTCAATGCTGCTGTTGAGGGCATTGAGGAACTGTGCCTGATCCTCATCCGTTTCACCATTCTGGTAGGGTGGGTACGTCTGTATTTGCTGAAATGTTACAGTTCTATCAGATGGATAGTGGTCCATTAGTCAGAGAACAGTGGAAATCGAGAGGGACTATTTGTTTTCTCCCCAAATCTACTTATTTCCACTAGCCCTAAATGACCTGCAGACTAGTGGTGTCTACTAATAAATGCTGTTTGCAATCATTAACTGATGCTGGTTTGTCATTCCGCACACACTTGTGGTTGTGACACAAAGTGATTAGATGATAACTGGATATGTACAGGTATTGGCATTAATAAAAATAGAATTGTCTCCTCCATTCCAAGATTAGCAAGCTAACAAGTGAGTGAGTGACTGTTGTTTTGCAACGTGCTAAAAAGTCTTGACCAGGCATCCCAGTGACTGAAAGCACAAGCGTGAACAATCCCTGACATCAGTGCACAATGACATGCAATCAGCCAAGCCAGATAATGACCACTCAAGCCATTCTAGTCAAGTCTTATGACAAACTTGGAAATTTTAGTATAAATGGCATAGGTTTATACTTATCCTGTCTCACATTATGCATTTCTCCTTCTTATTTGACCCCATGTGGAAATGTGCTTGAACCATGTTTCCAGCTTCTAAAACAAAAAACACGCTCCCGAACACACCCCAGCATCCCAATAGCTACTGACCAATAACTAGGTCAATAATATGCTCTCGTACACTGTAACTTGATGACATACGTGAAAGATGACATATGTGAAACACGTTCGGCAAGTTTCCCCAATTTCATGCTGTTTCACTCGTAAACGCATCGGGATTGTATCACCGATTGATCGTGTTTTCCCTGTCATGAGTTCATGTCCTCCAGACACAAGGCAGTGCAGTGTCTTAAATTTTACTTATTGCACTGTTTAGCTCCAGCTTCCTTGTGTACATCTCATGGTTGTAGTCTATATAGGCAAGGATATCCGCATTCAACCATCCAACCGTGGAGTGAAATGTATAGTGTGAGATAGGATAAGTTTAAAAATTTGGACATTTTAGTATAAATTTTATATTTATGTTCTTATTCTATCTCACATGTCATATGCCCACCTGACCATCCCCTCATCTCAGTTCCTCTAGCCTGATGGCTCTACGAAAGAGAATGAGTTTGCAGAGAAACACAAGTGATCAGGTCGTGTAAGAAAACCATGTACAGACGCACGTAATTGACCCAGTTGTTAGATCAGTAACTTTAGGGATGCTGGGGTGTTCGGGTGAATGTTTCTTGTTTTAGGAGCTGAAAACATGGTACAAGCACATTTCCACATAGGATCGAAGAAGAAGAAATTCATTATGCGAGATAGGAAAAGTTTTAAAATATTGGTCAATTGGGACCAATTCTTACCTGCAAACCTTACTGTAATCTCAAAAGGGGACTGTGAATGGTTAGACAAGAATCCATATAAGGATTCAACAAACTTTAAAATGTAAAGTGAAATATGTAAATTTTATGGCCAAAAGTTAAGGTGTGTCAACAGGCTTCTACATTTACCTCCTGTGTCTTAACTGTGGATGTCTTGGGCTCGGTGGTGACAACGGGGGCAGAGGGTGTTGTAGTCGATGTGACAGCTTGATGCTCAGACTTCTGCTGCCAGTAGTTCCTGTTGAGGTACCTTGCCAACTCAGGGTCCATGTCACTCGTGTCAATTGAGGTCACAGCCTGGATGAATAGCCAAATGAATTGTTGAATTAAATTCAAGTTATCTGTGTAGTTGCTCAGTACTAGCTGTATTCTTACATACCATACACTCCTTCTACAGGTGAACTGTTTTAAAAAAAGACTTTGGATATGTTAAAACATCAGAGCTTGTTTCAAATTAAGCTTATTAATTCCACAAAGAAAGATAAAATATGAAATAATAAGCCCCACTGCCTGATAGCACATGATATCAGACAAAAAACAGTTGACCTGCAAAACTTCTCCTTCTGAAATGTTACTTGAATATGATATAATAAAGAAAAGTATTAAAAAATTACACAGCTTGGGACAATTTAAGTAAACACTAAAACAAACATTTAACATGTATAAGTATAATATGGTTAAAATCATTGTATTGTTAACACAAATGACTGGCAATTTAAAGAATGCCCACAAACCAGCTTGGGTTCAGCTTCCCAAGCTTGTCCATCTAACTATGTACGGATTGGTCTATTATTGCAATAGGTGTGTGGGTTGTTCCATTGTTGCAGGAGTGTCTCAAATAAGTCACCAATCTCTCTGTCAATGACAACTGGGTGTTTAACAATTGGTATGGCTGACAATTGAGATATATCAGGTTCTAATTATTTGTTGCAGCTAATTAATTGTTGTTGAAGTACTGAACTCCTCATTTGAACAGTAACACACATGGAATCAGATTCCACTAGCTACACCAGGTTTATCTAGGATTCCAAACAAAGTTCCTTTGGCAGGCAAATGTGTTTTGCTCAAAATCTCTTTTTTTTTCAAAGATTCCGAATTATTTTAACTGGACATTTACTGTCATTTTCTGCAGACCTGGGTACCAAACATCTGCCTCTGAACAGGTCTAAATGAGTGTGTGCACATATAAAAAAAGTGTCAGACCTAAAGGTATCCATACTTCTCAGCATTTAGTCAGATTACAAACCAATGTTTGCAGTACTAAACCATCCATGCTGACCACTGCATATAAAGGCTGGAACAAGTCACTGATGCACCACAGGCTTACACCATGCCCCTTGTTGTGAGTTACAGTTATCATTTCACACATTCACACATTAGCATGATTAGATACATACTTTGGACTTTGATCATGTAAAAGAGTTATCTTGAATATGAACTTCTGACATCAAAAAGTGATTTAAATCAACTTTCTTTCCCTCTGTAATATCAAAATTAGAACATATTCATGCACTTTACCCCTTTTTGTTCCCTCTGAAAAAGTTGATTATTGTTACTAACGTGTGTTGTTTGAACTTTGTGATCTTAAATAATGTAAAGAAATGTCAACTTGACTGACTGACCGCCGGTGGCTGTGTCATTTGAGCGTTTTTCCCCGACTGCGGGGAGGAGGATCTCTCGTCACCACTGTAGAGGGAGTAGTTGTGCCGCAGGCGCTCCCTCTAAAACACCAAACACTGACCATCAACCTCCTTCACAAACGTTGTCTAACGCAGGGACTAATTTTTTAATTCAACACAACCGTAAGTTTCTACACATCAAAGTTTGATACAACCATGTTTGACAAAATATTTAATAATCAAATAGTCTCCAAGATCTTGGTCATAAAGGCAAGAATTTATTTTTTATTCAACATACAGGGAGAGAAACATTGGTGTGTGTCAAAAACCAAACCACATCTGCATTCACTAGTTTGTTTCTGATCCTAATGTGAAGCAGAGATACATGTAATATTACATAAACAGACTGGTGAAAAGTCTTTTCAGTTAGATACTAACATGAGTATTAATTTTGCAACCATAATCAATTTCAATATGTTTTAATCAACAATTTGTGAAACTATTTGGTGATAATAATAGGTGAGGTAAAATGGGGTTCAACATCACAGTAAAGATTATTGTTCTTATCTAGCTATGTGCATGTGTGTGTGTGTTTGGCTGCTTGTACGAATGGTGCAGTTTAACATGAATACTTCACTCACACATAGTATACTGACTCTGAGCCGACCAGTCCTTGTTTTAGCCCTTAATGCCAAGTGCAGGGTAACAACAAGTACAATCTTTTAACATCTTTTGGTATGACACGGCTGGGGATCAATCCAAGACCATTCAGTCCATAAAAATTAATAATTTAATTGCACTATACTGTCGGAATATTCAAATCTGAAAGGGGCAAACTATGACTGATATCAGCTTTGTTTAAAACTGGAAAACCCAATGTCTATAAACAGAATAACCTAATTGGTAAGCCAATCAGAATTAAGTTAAAATACTTGCCTACTGGGATGCTTGTATTTGCTGCATCACAATGAATACCCAAATCTAGCCAATCAAGAAAATATACCTAACAAATTTTCAAGTCCAAAAGTATGCAGCATGAAGCTCACATAAAAGAAAACGCAAGTATCACTTCTGTTTAAGGATAATTAATTTCAGAACTTTTCGATCAACAGTAAATACATTTAGTGATTGATGTGAACATTGGACAAGATTAGAAGGTAAAGAGATAAAAATCATGACTCCCATGTTAATATAGGTAAACTGTTATCGTGAAAGATTTTTTACAAGGGCCATATGGCAGGTTAGAATAGATCAGTGACCTACTTTTCTGCTACCAGCTCAGATATGTCATGTGTGTCATGTGTGTCATGTGAAATAATTCCTTCAGGACAATGGCAAACAATGCACAATCATGAAGATATATAATCATATATGAAATAAAAGCACTTCTTCAAAAAACACAAATATTGTTATTTTCTAAATGCATGATGTGAACACAATCAATCAATAGGAAGAAAAACTGTAAAAGCCTACCGGTACTGATCATGTCACATGAGCCACCATTATTAGATGCTCTAAGTCATTAGAAAGACAAAGAACATAGAGTCTATACACATCTCTCTCTATTGTCCCATGAATGACATCTGTCATGCAGACCGGCAGTAATATGCTGCCACCTGTCACAACTTACTTCCTGGTAAGGGGAGACAACTCTTACCTCCTTCTCCTTGGTCTCATGTTCACTCTTGGACAGAGCAAGGGCAAGCTGCAGCTCTTCTTCCTCTTGAAGTTCCTGCTCAGTCTTGACTGTGGGGTTCTGCTTAAACATTATACAACAATTTATAAGAAGAGGAATGCAATATTATTTTAATTGAAAAACACAAATATTGAATTAATATCATTTGTTGATTATTGTTTAATTGTATTCTTTTTTTAACATAATAGTTTAATTTCTGCAACAATAAGGCCCCTCTAAAAGATCAAAATGTATGTTGTTTTACACCTAGAACTTCCCTTGCCATACCTGTGGCTGTTTGGACAGGGGACTTGCCAGGTACTCGGGAGGCAGTTCATCAGGGCCAGCTTTTGCTGTAGGTCTGTAATAAGTAATAAAGTTATAAAAAAACAACAGGATTTATCATGAGGTATTTATGCCAGCCCCTTCACTTTCATTACTGATAACTGTGATGTCAATTTATATGTTGCAAGATGGTTGCAAATGGCAATTCGAACAAAAATGTCCTCCATCACTTTTGAAAAGGATTGTGATGAAAATCTCAAATATAATTCATTGTGGTCTTATTTTCAGCAACAAGAGGACAAAGCCATCGATATCCCCCGCAATGGTAAATACTTGTCATAAGTAACTATATGAAACTTGTTAACATGGAAGCTTGAAAAATATTGATAAAAAAAATCCAAAACAATAAAAAAGCACCACTTCATCACTAGACCTATCTATACGCCAAGAGTTGGTGAAGAAATATTGTATTTTTTAATCTGCTCCAGAAATGAGCACTACCTCCACCCCCACCCATTTTCAGTCTAAGTCAAAATTGATGCCACGGAAACTCAAAAATAAACTCAAGACTATCAAAAGGCACCAGTTCATCACTACACCTATCTACCGTATATCGCTGTGTATAAGGCGACCCTACGTATAAGACGACCCCCCTGTACACGCCTTCAAAATCAACCCAAAATCCTATACTCCGTGTATAAGACGACCTGGAATGAAGCACATCACAAGTGCGCACACAAACCTTATATATGCAATAAAAATTTGTTTATCTTGCGTTGTTTTTTCTACGATGAATGGTCGTGTGTGTAACTCCAGCACATGTTGCCATTTTGTGTTTACACGGTACGACACCAAATTGGTGCCCGTAAAATAAAATTCATTTATGAAGTAATAACATATAAGAGACAAAGGTGAGTAATTTAATCGCCAATTAACTATTTTGTAACTAACTAGGCTTATATTTGCTTCACATTCAGCGTGTTTATTCCACAATCACTTATTCACACTGTCTCCAACAGTTGTTAATACAACTGTAAAAACAGCGGGAATTGATTTCAGCTTCACTGGTTATCACATGTTAGGTCACATGTGCAATATGCAAATGCTTACCAGTACTTCCGGCTCTCTACTCACGGATGTTGATTGTTTTACCGTGTCAGCTGGTTTGACAATCTGCATCGAGGGGAGGGTCATTTCAACTTTATTTGCAGAAATTGTTAAACTTTATTCGAAAGGACGAAATGCGAAGTTTTATTGTCAAATGCTGGGCTGGCTATCGGACGCCGGTTGACATCGCCAGTGGAAAAAAATGTGAGATCTTCGACTCCGTGTATAAGACGACCCCCCTTCTTAACCCCCTCATTTTAGGTACGAAAAACTCGCCTTATACACAGCGATATATGGTATGTGCCAAGTTTGGTGCAGAAATATTGTGCGGTTTTCAAGACCTGCTCCGGAAACAAGCACTACCACCAATTACAAACTAAGTCAAAGATTTTGCAATGGAAACTCAAAAAATAATTTTTTCCAAAAGCTTAAACAATCAAAAGACACCAATTCACCACCAGACCTATCACTGGACCCAGTTTGGTGAAGAAATACTGTACGGTTTTCAAGATCTGCTCCAGAAACAACATCTTGCACATACTGATAATAAGTTAACATCATGTCTAAATCTCAGGGCATGATAAATTAATTATCTATTTTTCATTCCCACCTGCCTCAATACCAAATACATTTTATTGTCCCTAAATATCTATTTGACGAGGAAAATTGGGTGTGTGCATTTCATAGTCCAGCCAAAGTAAAACATGCTACAGGTGAATTTTATCTATCAACAGTTAATGTACACAAATGAATTGAACATTTTACATAAAAGAAATACACTACATAATCATACTGTCTTTTGTAAAAAATACTGGCAGAAAATTTACTGATTTATTTATTGTGACGTTATGCAATACTGAAACAAAAGCAGACAACTGATCAAAACCAACTCTTGGTCATGAGATATTGGTTTACTTACTTGTTGAGCTTATCAAAGCAAGCATCACAAACTCGTACTTCACGCTCAATTCCAAATCTTGGGATGATGGAACTCTTCGAGGAGCACTTGCTGCAGAACACCTCACCACAATTGCGGCAATGGTGCTGTGGAGGAGAAGGGATGAATAGGCACTGATTTAGACATATTGCATTGGTGAAGGGAATAGACAAAAATGGAAAATTACTGTCTCTTCTTCTAGAGCATCACTGAGCAAATACATTGTATGTAAATATACTTTTCCCTATGTGTTGTCGATTATACCTATGCTTTCCCCTATGTGTTGTCCATTAAACCTACAGTTTAGTCAGGAAGCAAGGAGATTTCACCAACTCGTGTACTGACGGATCAAAAAGGTGCTCAAACAGGGGCTTGTCTCACATACCTCCTCTGACTAACATGGACTAACAGGGGCTTGTCTCATAGACCTCCCCCAACCAACCGGGGCTTGTCTCACATACCTCCCCAAACCAACAGGGGCTTGTCTCACTCACCATCCCCCAACCAACAATGGGGAGTCTTACATACCTCCCCAACCAACAGGGGCTTGTCTTACTCACCATCCCCCAACCAACAGGGGCTTGTCTCACATACCTCCCCCAACCAACAGGGGCTTGTCTCACTCACCATCCCCCAACCAACAGTGGGGAGTCTTACTCACCATCCCCCAACCAACAGGGGCTTGTCTCACTCACCATCCCCCAACCAACAGTGGGGAGTCTTACATACCTCCCCCAACCAACAGGGGCTTGTCTCACTCACCATCCCCCAACCAACAGTGGGGAGTCTTACATACCTCCCCCCAACCAACAGGTGCTTGTCTCACATACCTCCCCCAACCAACAGGGGCTTGTCTCACTCACCATCCCCCAACCAACAGTGGGGAGTCTTACATACCTCCCCCAACCAACAGGGGCTTGTCTCACTCACCATCCCCCAACCAACAGGTGGGAGTCTTACATACCTCCCCCAACCATCAGGTGCTTGTCTCACTCACCATCCCCCAACCAACAGTGGGGAGTCTTACATACCTCCCCCAACCAACAGGGGCTTGTCTCACTCACCATCCCCCAACCAACAGGGGCTTGTCTCACATACCTCCCCAACCAACAGAGATTTGTCTTACATACCTCCCCTCTCAATCAATCAGGGATTTGTCTTACATACCTTCCTCTGCACCATGCCAAAAGCCACTCTGCATCGGGTACACACATCACTATCCTTCCATTCCGGAGCTTTCTCTGCCGCAAACATGGCATCTGCCTCCTTCAGCTGAGGGAACTTGTAACCTGTACAACGACAGAGTAAATCTCAATAATCTGGAACTTGTAACCTGTACAACGACAGAGTAAATCTCATCATTCTGGAACTTGTAACCTGTACCACGACATAGTAAATCTCATCATTCTGGAACTTGTAACCTGTACCACGACATAGTAAATCTCATTATTCTGGAACTTGTAACCTGTACCACGACAAAGTAAATCTCATTATTCTGGAACTTGTGACCTGTACCACGACATAGTATATCTCATTATTCTGGAACTTGTAACCTGTACCACGACATAGTAAATCTCATTATTCTGGAACTTGTAACCTGTACCACGACAGAGTAAATCTCATTATTCTGGAACTTGTAACCTGTACCACGACAGAGTAAATCTCATTATTCTGGAACTTGTAACCTGTACCACGACAGAGTAAATCTCATTATTCTGGAACTTGTAACCTGTACCACGACAGAGTAAATCTCATTATTCTGGAACTTGTAGTGAGTGAGTGAGTTTGGTTTTACGCCGCTTTTAGCAATATTCCAGCAATATCACGGCGGGGGACACCAGAAATGGGCTTCACACATTATACCCATGTCGGGAATCGAACCCGGGTCTTCGGCGTGACGAGCAAACGCTTTAACCACTAGGCTACCCGACTGCCCCTTCTTGAACTTGTAACCTGTACCATGACAGAGTAAATCTCATTATTCTGGAACTTGTAACCTGTACCACGACACAGTAAATCTCATTATTCTGGAACATGTGACCTGTACCACGACATAGTAAATCTCATTATTCTGGAACTTGTAACCTGTACCACGACATAGTAAATCTCATTATTCTGGAACTTGTGACCTGTACCACGACAGAGTAAATCTCATTATTCTGGAACTTGTAACCTGTACCACGACAGAGTAAATCTCATTATTCTGGAACTTGTAACCTGTACAATGACAGAGTAAATCTCATTATTCTGGAACTTGTAACCTGTACCACGACAGAGTAAATCTCATTATTCTGGAACTTGTAACCTGTACCACGACACAGTAAATCTCATTATTCTGGAACTTGTGACCTGTACCACGACAGAGTAAATCTCATTATTCTGGAACTTGTAACCTGTACCACGACAGAGTAAATCTCATTATTCTGGAACTTGTAACCTGTACCACGACAGAGTAAATCTCATTATTCTGGAACTTGTAACCTGTACCACGACACAGTAAATCCCATTATTCTGGAACTTGTGACCTGTACCACGACAGAGTAAATCTCATTATTCTGGAACTTGTAACCTGTACCACGACAGAGTAAATCTCATTATTCTGGAACATGTGACCTGTACCACAACACAGTCAATCTTAATAATCCGGATCTGCTAACCTGTACCAGGACAGTCAATTTCATTTACCTAGATTGTTCAGTATTTTTCAAATCATCTATATTAACCAGTGTTAACAAATGTAACAGGATTCATGAATTTTAAGCAATTTTGTTGCAACAAATTGTCTTTCATAAAAACTGACTAATTTCTGGCTCATCTTGTAAGGCTAAATCAGACACTGAAATTACTGTATTTTCTTGAGTATAGTGCGCACCCATGTATAATGCGCAACCCCCTCTAGCGGGTTCAAAATTTTGGAAAAAAAGAAACTTGAATATTATGTGCAGAAAAAAATTACACCGTACCCCTTCAGCGAAGTCCGGCAAACAAACAAGTGATGAGAAACTTCGTCAGTACAAATTCGAAATTTGAGATAAAAAATCACGAGACATGTTTATTTACCGTTTAAATTGTATTTTGTGTTCAGCTAGGCATTGTTTTACATCCAGGGATTAAGATTACCTTGTGTATTTTCTCGTAAACTAAGCCGGACACAGCAATCAGCTGTACACACGTTGTCTCTTGGAATCTACCGGTGTTTTGGTCAAGGCACACCAAATGATATAACTTTACAGGATTTTAATGCAAGGTTCGGCAAAAGTTGTATCTGACACTATTTTTTTACCAGGAATAATATATTCCAATATCTTGTTAATTTAGATGCAGCTTTTACTAAACATATTTAAAATAATAATAACCCTAAGCGAAGCAGCTGATCGCTATCGCTGGTATTATTTTTTACATGGAATCAGTCTAACCAGTCACCGTCAAGGCTCCCATGCACGTGATCACGAGAATTACGTGTTGATAGAATCGTCCAACAAAAACAAATATGACTTTTAACGAATCAAAGTATGGCATTTATGATATATGTATCCATTCTCTCAACTAAAGTTCGTTTCAAGGCGTCAATAGCAGTAATCTGACCGTGGTTGCTGTTAATAATGGTGAGTTGTGCGATCTTCCGATCGCTTCACACACGATTTCGCCGACATTAATTAAAACAATATTAAAAGGAATTTTGAATAAAATTAATGAAATAAGTTACAAACATAAGTCCAGATATACAAAGAACACTTTTTTATAGCCAGACAGTGTAATTACATGAATAATTTGCGTACTTCAGTGTGAATTTGTTAACATGGTATTTCCGGTGTTACGTGCTCACGGTAATGTCTTTCCATGTGGGAAAAACATCAAAACTCATAAATTCGTGTATAATGCGCACCCCCTTCTACAAAGCTGTGTTTTGGGGAAAAAAAGTGCACACTATACTCAAGAAAATATGGTAGACCTCTCATCAATAGCATCCACATTTTCCCAGCCAAGATATATTTATGTACATGTAGCGGCCTTCATCTGAATGACTTGTGGCTTGACCCGAACAATCACATTCTTTCTTCAGGTATTTTGTTACTTCAGCTCTGATAGCAATAATACCTGGAGCATAGTTATGTAACTAGTTCACAAACAGTGCAATTTCATGCTTTGTGAAGAGGAACATTTATTTCTAAGACTGTAATTCATTCTTCTAAAGGCTAGAATAACTATTTGACTTGTGACTAACCTTCCATCTTCATCAGATGAAATGTGTCCTGCACAACTTTGTAGCTTGGCTCATTACGAAATGCATGGGACCACACCTGAACCATTTCTAGAATCTTGGCCTTCACAGGATCATTTCTTGTCTGCAACAAATACACAGATCAATATTAACCCTCAACTGCATTTCACAATAGATGTGATGTGATTGCAGCTTAACATTTCAAATTTCAAACATTTCAGGATGATAGTTACTGTTTGTCATAAGGATATGAACATTTGGGTCTCTGTGTGCTGAACATTGTGAAAAACACCTTACATATTTTGGAGTATGAATTAATTATGCACAAATGGACTGTTACAGTCATTGAAGAATTGACTTTCAGTTTGTGTGAGTTCTCTGAAGTAAGAACCTTCATCATGTTCATAGAGTGAGGGCCAAAGTATATGAATGTCAGACTATTATTCAAATAATGTCATCATTGGATGAGAAAGGTCTGTAAGAACCATCTCAGTATTCAGTCATAATTACAGTGCGTCATAATACATTTACATCAAGTACAAGACATCGAAATGTCCGACACGATAAACGTGACAGGAGTGATTTTGGGAGTTGTCCGTGAACCTGTGGCAGTTACAGATCTAGACCAGATCTAGACCAGATCTAGACCAGATCTAGACACGGATCAAGTTGATACTACGATAGTTTGGATGTGCACTTCTTTGCATTGTTTACTTAGATTGGTCGTCACGAGGATATTTCTAAATGATCGGAAACAACGTTTTTGTATGTATTCATGCCAGAGTTTTCCCAGGGGCTTCCCCAGGAATGTGGAAGAAGTCCATCATTGTTTACGTCATTTCATGAATACAGTCTCGTGAAAAGCGTATGAACATCAAATTTTGTGACCGACCTCACATCCAATGGAAAAGCTGTATATTGTGCAAACTTCACACTAAAATATTATTCAGAAATATAGGTTGTCACCTTAGCTTGGTCCTTCATGAATTCCATGAACTCTTTGGTGGCCACTTCTCCATGTATAAGTGAGCCACAGTTCTTCATACAAGACTCCAGGACCTAAAGGGGAAATAAATGCATTTACCACTGTTTGTCATATTATTTTTGTCATTGAACACTGTGTGTGAGTGAGTTGGGTTTAACGCCGCTTTTAACAGTATTCCAGTTATATCACGGCGTGTCAGCTTGATGTGGGAGGAAAGCCTGAAGCGATGCATGTCTCAGACATTTACTACTTCGGTGAAAGCCACGATCACGGGTATGGTGCTGACAAACCTAGAAACATAATCGGGGCGAACCGGGATTTGAACCCACAATCATAGGTTTCTGGCGTGCCCAAGGGACGCAACTCTGCACAGCGAATCGCAGAGCCTTAGACGACTAGGCCACCTATTCCAACCATTGAACACTGAAGTCAACAAACCTGCAGCTATATCACGGTGGAAATAACCTAGTTTGCACCAAACCAGTCATTGCTATTATGAACAACATTCCACAGTGTTGTGGTGGGGTATGATGGCAGACACCCAAAGTCACTGAGCCTGATCACCCTATCCATATCGTTACCTACTGTGACAAGCGTAAGCATACCTTGGTATCAAACATTATTACAAGAAAGACGTAAAGGCCTTACCATCATACACAAAACAACTCTTATGTGTCCCTTTACATCCCTCCATCCCACAAATAATTCATCAATCACAAAGTGATATACCTAACTTCATGGTATCATAAGAAAAGGGACTGGCAAAGTATCATTCAATAATCTTACTAAACAAATCATTGTAGAAAACATTTGTTATAAAATACTCAAAACAATGTTACTAGTCAATGAGAAAACAATGTTACTAGCCAATGAGAACACAATGTTACTAGCGGATGAGGAACAGCATCAGTAGCCATATTATAGTCCTCAGCAATACTTCTTTGTCGCAGAGCAGAATGAATTCTTAAGGCTGTCATATTAACCATTTTAACAGATTCTGTTACTATATTTACCTGTAGAGCAAACAAGGACACATGTGGATTATCAAACTGGATCTTCTTCCTTATGGCAAGTGCAGCATACTTTGGACTGTAAGAGTAACCAACACATGTATACCACACTGCATTGATGAATGCGGACATATCATTTCAGAATGACACATTTATTCTTACTTTTCATGTTATGTTTATTTCGATCAAATATATCAACAATATATGGCCTACCTTTTGAATACAGTACCACAAACTTTTCAAACACGTGATCATACCCTATGACGTAATTTGTAGTATTTTGTTGCCAGTCACACCGGCGAAACAATGCCCTGTGACGTCAGGGGTCATCCAGTGTGCATAAGCTCCTCCCAGTGTTCTATCATCTCTACACGCAATGTCATAGAATACGCCCTGCGGTGTTGAGAGTTTTGAGTATTTGTTTACTGATTATAGCCTGCGGCTGCACATTTTAGAGCAAGCGCTAGTTTACGATGGCACTTTTATTTTTTATATATTTTTAATTTCGTAATTGAAGTGGATAAAATGGTTATAAATGGGAACTAATATACATATATTATTTTTTCGGTTCATTAATTTTCATTATTATGCTCAAGAATGCAGTTTTTTAGGGATATTAGATATTGGCGCTGAACACATCCAAATGTCGCCAGTGTTAGGGTAGGTTACTCCCGAACTCTCTATCACTAGCCCTTGGATCCCCTTTACGATCAATCACCCCTTTACGATCATTAGGGTTAGGAACCCGTTTAGTGGCTATTAGATTACCCGAAGTCTATCCTTAACCCTTGGATCCCCTTTACGATCAATCACCCCTTTACGATCATTAGTGTTAGGTACTCGTTTTGTGGCTATAATAGATTATATAGCGGCTCCTAATATTCTTCACACAAAAACGTCGAGTACAAAGGATGAAATGGTTTTGTGTCGAATATTTTGGCTTCTGAACTATCCTGGAACATCCACACAAGCCACTTTCACCGGCTACATTTTCCAGTACTGATTCAAAAAAAACTCACCGTTGTGTCGTCACTAGTCATGCTTATTCCTCCCTCGTTCCTTACTATTATCCACATTATCCTTACAGTGTTCCCTACCACACTTTTCTGTCACAAAAATCACCCGACGAATTATTAAATACCATATCATTCATGTGTACTCGCGAGTTCGACGTCTGACATCTGGAGCCATTTTCAGTTCGCGGCATAGCGGCTCATTCCTCACCACTCGGTATCTTGTAGATTACGGAATGGGACTAGTGTGCCAAATGGCATCAGGATCATTCGTAAGTGTCCGTAGACTAGAGTCACAAGGCAACATGCCTACCCGTAACCTTCGTAAGTGTCCGTCACCTATTCGATCCTTTTCGTTCAGTTCCGTAACGTGATAGGCATGACTAGGTAAATTTGCACTAAGTTTAACAGTGTGGATGTAGCTCAGTCGGTTAGCTGTCAGGCTAACAATCCGAAGGTCGCGGGTTCGCGTTCGACGGATTCTCACAAAAACTGGCTGCTTGTCTTGAGACATGTGACCTACGGCAGAGATCGTCCTCACGAGAAGTTGTGGTACTGTTTTCTAAAGGTGCTCCCAATATATTACATAAAACAAAAGAAATATTCTTACGTAACATCTGCCTGTCGTACCGTATCACATAGCTGCAATATGGAGTCCCAGTCTGGTTCTAAAAGCAACTGGCTAGTAGCTTTTTCTGCAAAAATAAATATGTCATGGTTTCTAACCTGTAACTTAGAACATGTAAATGAAGCATTTTCAATGCTGAATGCATGGCTTTCAAGATATTGAAACCTATTTTAAAAACACTGAACCAAGGGTGATGACCTGAAAAGGGTATTGTGAAACAAGAGCGACCAAAAACAGACTTGTTCTAGGTACCATTAGGTATTTTACACTGCATTTCAAGCATTATTATTAACAACTTTGAGTCAGTGTTGAGACCCCTAAATTACAGCTTTTGGCTATATAGGCCTACACTTGCCTATAACCAGGAAGAGCTCTTTGTTATTACCAGAGTCAGTCAGTCATATCAATCACATATCAACCACTTCAGAAAAAGATCATCAGAGTTGCTTTCAAATCATTCAAAGATCAGTATAAAGATATATCACCTTACTCAGTTTACTGGAGTAACAATTCATAATGAGTTCTGAATATTCACAGCAGCAATGAGTTTTGATCAATGACAATGATATTTCTGGTTGACCATTACCTCATACTACGACTGTCAAAAACATGTCCGGTGCAGTTTTCGAACTGATTAGTTTAAATAATAATCTGAACAACATATTATTGTACGTCTCTATAAAGATTTATGATACGCCATACAGGAAGATGTGACGGAAATAATAACATTATTCAACATGATAATAGGCCTTTCTCCGAACGAACAATGATTTTGTCTAATAATGAACCTGCTGAAACAGCTATAAAAACACTCGTGATCAAGACAAACATTCGAATGTAACAATAATTACCAAGAGCTCGATCGAAAATTGCCGATTTGCTGCTGAACATCTTGTTTTCCTGAAATATTCTTCACTGACTCACTGTCATCTGTGTCTGTCTGGTCAGCTGTATCATATACTGTATTCTTCCTACTTGTATTATTCACGACTGTATTGAAAGGCTTCTGCTGGTAAACAGACACATTTGCCAATGTGCCTGTAATAATCTCAAATGCAGAAAGAGTATCGTAAATGTGAACGAACAGGACTGTGCTTCACACACACACACACACACACACACACACACACACACACACACACACACACACACACACACACACACACACACACACACACACACACACACACACACACTGTAATAAGGTGAAATCGTATGGCAGAAAATAAAATGTATACGCTAAAGTCACGTACACATTGAGGGATATGCCAATGTACACTCACGCATATGTGATGAGTGTTTAGGAAGGTGGTTGGGTGTGGTTTTCATATCTATGGTGTTAATATAAAACACATAGCTAATTCCAAAACTATAAACATGTTAGTCTTAATGATTATATGAAATGTGATATATTTAATATTATGTTTTTTGCATTCATATCGTATCTGCGTCCATTTGATCTATTCTACTAGCTACAAGATGTGTGAGATGTGTGTGGGCACAGGTGGCCCAGCCGTCCAGGGCGCCGCACATCGCTGTGTAGAGTTTCGTCCCTTGGGCATCCCAGAATTCACTGAGTATGGGATCTTATCCATAATTTGTCAAGATCATATATGATACTAGGTTTGTAAGCACAATACCCATTCTTGTGTTTCGTCCAAGTGGTAAACGTCAATATAACACCTGCGTCACATTGGGCTTCCTACCACGTGAACTGACATGTATGTGATATAACTGAAATGCAGTTCAAAGCAGTGTACAAACATGCAATATTAGAAAATATCAGGATTAGCCCCGATTAAAAATATTGGTCCGTTAGTACGTTTTACCTTTCACTTTGCACTCTCCTTCCACACAAAAAATGCAGATGGCAAAAGTATAGAGCCATATTTATATTTATATTCTGTAACATGAGTAGGAAGACATGTATATCTTGAGGCTACTGTCCGAGTTTATTTTAAAACAAAAAAGATGAAAGAAGTGATCCTACTGAGATATTTATATAAATCATCAGTGGCCCAACTTGCCTCGAGTTAGAATGTCAATTGTTTCATATCACGATATGAGATAAGTTCACGTGTTATTTGACAAGAATGGATATTTTGAGTATGTATTTTATACTTAACTTTGTTAGAAAACCAAATAACTTGAAATAGTTTTTAAGGAAGTATTATGCGTTATAGGTCACTGACACGCTCCTTGTCAGCGCGTGCTACCTCCCGATGATCGCTCTTTAGAACGATAAGTTTCGCTGTTTGGAGCTTACCTTCACACATTGCTCACAAGCTGAACTAATTTAATTCGTTCAGTTAATAATTCTCACACATTATTTGAACGTTTTAGTAGATCATGACACAAAATATGCATTGCTCACAAATTCTTTATAGTCAACTGTTTAACTCTAAAAGATTTTTTTTTTCTTTTCGTAAGCGAGGTTGGTGTAAACATCCGGTGTAAAATATTCTGAAGTGATGAGACGGCCTCGTTGAGCTTGTCACCTTGATTTATTATGTTTTTACAATTTCTTTAGAAATTATTTGTTTTAAAAAGTTGCTAGCCATGTGTCTACTCATTGGCTCATCGGGTGTTGGAAAAACTCTTCTTTTGAAGAGGTTACAAAGTATCCTTTACTACCTCTAGACCCGTGAAAATTCCGGGATAGAATAGGTCTTCAGCAACCCATACTTGCCTTAAAAGGCGATTGTGCTTGTCGTAAAAGGCGACTAACGGGATCGGGTGGCCAGGCTCGCTGACTTGGTTGATACATGTCATCGATCCCAATTGCGTGGATTGACATTCATGCTGTCAATCACTGGATTGTCTGGTCCAGACTCAATTATTTACAGACCGCCGTCATATAGCTGGAATATTGCTGATTGCGACGTTAAACAACAACAAAACAAACCTCGATGTTCACAGTGTGCTGTGCTGGTGAGTGAGTGAATATGATATTTTAAGCCGCTTTTCGTAATATTTAACCATGGAATTTCACACATTGTGCTTTGACTATTAACAGAGCAAGACCTTTAATGAATAATCACAAGGTTATAACACCACCCAGGATCACAGGATGCCATGGATGTGATTTGCCTTAGTTGTAAAATTGCAAACTTCATAGACCCACAGCCAGAAAATGACTCAACTCTTAGATAGGAAAAGAGACTGTAAATCTAACATAGAAAATACCTGAGCATGCCATGCTAGGAATCTGGGTTTGGTCCCCAGCAAGCTATGCTTTTCGTAAGAGGCAACTATTTGGATCAGGTAGTCATGCTCGATGACTCGATTGATTGCATGTCATGGTACCGCGATAATGTGGGGTGTTGCTTATAATGTCAATAACTGGTTTGTCAGGTCCAGACTCGATTATTTACAGATATCTGTCTTGTTGCTGCAATATTGCTTAGGGCACTGTTAAAAAACAAACAAAACAAGAGATATATATATAATGATGGAATGCTCAGATATAGTCACCGTGAACATAGGACTCTGTGGTGAGATATAAGTGCCCTATTGCTGTATTTCTCTCCTGTTTCTAGCTGCTTTCCTGCCCAAACATTCATACTCGTACATCACTGTGAAGGGTTGTACACCAACTTAGGCAAATCAAATACGGTCTGAATGTCCCTCTAAGAATGAAATGACTATTTTCCTTAGTGTTGTGTAGATTACCCTCTGAAGGTGACAACAGAGATAGAGATATCACCCATGACAATACCAACAGTAAGTACAGGGGGAGTCAATTTCAAATATTTCACACATTTTTGTTGTTAATCATTAAACGTATGTTATATTTTTTTAATTCAAATAATAACGATATGCTCATGATACTTTTTAAAGTGTGGCATATTTTGGTGAGGATGAAATCATAGCTCAACACAATGACATATTGACTCATTCTAAACTGAAGTAAATATTGTTATTTGATCTCATCAGAAGTAAAAATTGTATAACATTAGGATAAGAAAACAGGACACATTTCACTTCTCTGCATGACTTGGTAATTTGGGAACTCTGTTTTCTATTTAAAAGTGTTAAGTGGGACCTTGAGGTCATTTTTATGACTACTCACTATACTAGGGTTATAAGAAGGACCCCTTCACTTTCATGATTTATATAAAACACTGTTAGTTTGTTAAAGGAGGATATCATGCATGACAATCTTTCAGGTGGGAACAAACCTGACCTCAGTAACACTGGGGCGACGAGATGAGATCACTCTGAGGGAACTTGGAGGATCCATGGTCCCCATCTGGCACAATTACTTCAAGGAAGCTGGCTCCATTATCGTAAGTCAGATCAGGCCGACAGAGAAAAACAGTTTTGATTGACAGTAAGATGGTGTGTGTAAGTTGATGTGACATAGAGGTGGTATTTTATTTGGACGAACAACAATTTAGCAGATTGGAATATGAAGAGAAAATAGAAAATATTTTCCCTTTTCAAGAGCCTGTGCTAAAGCCATTTGAGTGGGCTACTATACTAGCCCAAACATGAAATTCAGTCATCATAGAAGTCCCTGAAGTCCCAGCATGGTTCATTACAAATGTTCTTTAGAATTGCTGTTTAATATGATTCTCCAGTGTAATCTGATTCCAGTACATCGTGGACCTGACAAACCGGTTCCAGATTGCTGTCTTATGTGATTCTCTATAGTGTAATCTGACTCCAGTACATGGTGGACCTGACAAACCGGTTCCAGATTGCTGTCATGTGATTCTCTAAAGTGTAATCTGATTCCAGTACATGGTGGACCTGACAAACCGGTTCCAGATTGCTGTCTTATGTGATTCTGTATAGTGTAATCTGATTCCAGTACATGGTGGACCTGACAAACCGGTTCCAGATTGCTGCCTCCTGTATACAATTGCTGACGGTGCTGTCCCATGCAGATACCCAGGGGCTGCCCGTCCTTCTCATCCTCAATAAGACGTAGGTATCCAGTTGATGGATTTCAGCAATTCCTGTTTTAGTTTCCAACCACGGATTCAGTCAGTCATGAAATCTGTGATTGAGTAGTTTCAGATTAAAGAACTTTATTTCAAGGAATTAATGGAAAATATATTGAAGTGTGACATGAGAAAACACAAAAATCTGACAATACACAGGCCTATCATGTATTGACTAAAATTTTCAACTAGACAGTAAGGCCAGCTTTACCAAAATGTTACTAGCCCAATTTAAAAGTCCCTGGCATTTGGCTAGCAGGCAGGCAGGTATTTGGAACACTGACACTCTCGCAAAATCATCTTTGCTTTCTCATAACCATAAGAGATAGGATGTTTTTATACACATCAGTCAGCAATATGAGATCTATATTACAGCAGACAACTGTACACATTATATCACATATGAAGACCTCAGCAGACAGTAGGTTGGTGTGTGAGAGCTAACTTATACCGTTGCCGACCTCTGCTTGCAGCGATCTGCCGACTGTGATGAGCCATGGGGAGCTGGAGTCTCTGTTTCGGCTGCAGGACATCCTCGCTCACTGCCAGAAGATGTCCGTCCTTGAGATGAGCGCCAAGACTGGACATGGACTAGACATGATTGCCAAGTGGATCCTGCAGCACCACAAGCCGGTGCCTCCCACCAGCCAGGCCCCTGGAGAGTAGGACCCATGGTTGCAGGGGTAGTGAGTGAGTGAGTGAGTATGGTTTTATGCCGCTTTTAGCAATATTCCAGCAATATCACGGCGGGGGACACCAGAAATGGGCTACACACATTGTACCCATGTCGGGAATCGAACCCAGGTCTTCGGCGTGACGAGCGAACGCTTTAACCACTAGGCTACCCGACCGCCCCTGCAGGGGTAGTGAGACATGATGGGAGAACTTTCCATGGAAGCTGAGCTGGAATCTGGACTTGTAGTGACAGATGATTAGGTGGGGTGGAAATTTAATGATCAGACATTTGCTCTGTTTGATCTCATCTTCTAAACAATCATATTTTGTAAACATTAATGTTATCTTTGACTATTTTGTTGATTGCAGTCTGTGACTTTAGACACATTTCAAAAGTCCAAGTCTAGTAAAAGTCTCAGCTAATAATAGTCCATATGATAACACCAAAATGTACTAAAAATTATGCTAAAACGCCATTTTCAGGCTACTAGACTCAAAGGTTTGGGGCAGAAATCCTTTATTAGTAGCCTATTTTAAACGTTGCCAATTGAGATAAGAATAGGCCTTGCCTTACCTGACGCTACACAGTGCTTTAGCCTCCCTTTCCTTTACAAACAGACAGTACTAGTACAGAGAGACAGTTGAAACAGATTATAGCCAGTGCCCCGTTACCCACGAGTTATCCGCCTTTGGCAGTACTCCCTCATATTCTTCTCTGTCTGACTTATGACAGACGTGTTTGGAATAGTCATCTTACTTTAGACTGCTGGAGCAGGCCTTTCGCCTGTTTCTTCTGATCAACAGAATTCCTCTTCAGATCTTCAGACTCCCTGTCCCTGTGTGCAAAAGCTTTTCCTCCCTTGGTTCTTCTTCTGTAGATCATTCACAGCCAAGACCAGTCCTTTTGAATCTGCTTTGGTCGGGCCTTACTGGCAAGCCAGAGTTTGGTTTCCAAGTGTCCTTCAGCTTGACGGAGAACCTATGTTGCACCTTCTGGCATGGCTGAATCTGCTGCTCAACCCTGACAGCCTAATCCGGACCCTGATGTCTACAATCTGCATGTCTGGCATGTCTCCAAAGTCACTGAGGGCTAAGGGGTTCACGGCCTGAGCTGAGGAGCTGCCTCCAAGGCTCACTGTTCCTCGGCTCGTTCCCTCTATGGTCACAAGTGGAGCTCTGTTCTTGCTTCTGTACGTCCAGACACATAGCTATGGTGGGGGACTCCTACCCCCAGGTGGCTGACTTCTTGTTATTTCTACACCAGTTCCATCACCTTGCTTGCTCCACAATTACAATGTACCTAGAGGCTCTCAACTCTGTATTGAAGATCGCTTGTGGTTCCCATCTGGCCTTAATTGGCAAGGCAGCCAGGGTTAGTGAGCTTCATGCCCTGGATGTCACCCGGGTCAGAATCAATCAGTGCATGGCCTGGTCACCTTGATATTTCTTGGCACTTCATCGCTAAGAATCAACTTCCGGGTCAACATTTAAGAGATCGTTGGTCCAGATGATGACGTGTAACTCACCCTCTGTCCTGTTCCAGCCCTCTGTCAATATCTTCAGGTGTCCCAGCAGCGTCAATGACAGCGCCAGGGGCTGTACCTTCCTGTTTCCAGTCCTGACTTGCCACCTCCGTCAGCCAACAAGATCCATGCACTGTCCTCCACAATGGCCCTCCATGACCAACGTTTCTGTTCAAACTATCATGAAGGTGTGTTCGTCAGTATTTGCCAGCCATTATCTATGCAGCATCTCTGTTGAGGACGTCGAGGGGACTCACAGCTTCGGACTGTTTGTCCTGGCCCAGCAGCTGACCCACCCCAACGCCATTGTCCGTGCCCTAATAGAGGAACAAGGCCACTTTCAGCACCACTGGCCCTGAGGAGGTAGGACCACATCTTGTTTCAGCTCCGCTATAAACATTCTGGGTTGCTGGGTACTGCTCCATCGGTACCTGGTAAAGTCTGCCTTACCGTTCTGGCACCACTGTCTATGCTGCTCCTGCTGTCTTACAGTGAAGAATATGAGGGAGTACGAACCAAGGCGGATAACTCATGGGTATCGGGGCACAGACTATAGCCTGTTTCAACTGTCTCTCTGTTCCAGTACTGTTTGTTTGTAAAAGGTAGGGAAGCTAAAACACTGTGTAGCATCTGGTTAGTATGAAAACATTGCATTTATTCAGAAAAGCTCATTTTTATCTTTTGATGAATGATGTCTGTACTCCTGTTTTTCTTTTAAGACATTGTGTTTGTCACCAAGGTCACACGATGAAGGGGGGACGGTCGGGAAGCCTCGTGGTTAAAGCGTTCGCTCGTCACGCCGAGGGCCCAGGTTCGATTCCCGACATGGGTACAATGTGCGAAGCCCATTTCTGGTGTCCCCTGCCGTGATATTGCTGGAATATTGCTAACAGCGGCATAAAACCATACTCACTCACTCGCTCACTAGATGAAGGTCTTTTATTTTTGGCTGACTGTGGGGGGTTTCGCACAATGAAGAAGCTTAAAAAGGATAAGAAAGAAGTGACCATTTACCGGGTACCCAAGTGTGTGTTTTGAGTAAAAACTGTGCAACAATTACAGGGAGCAATGAGGGATAGAACATGTTGGATGCTTGGGGCCAAGAACAAGCAACACATAGGGCCAGATGACATTCATGAGACAAGACTGACGTTGTGGATGTTCAGGCCACAATGAATTATTTTTTAAGACTTTCATTGAAATGTTTACAAAATGTGAAGTGGTGTGCATTTTTAACTTTTTTAAACAGGTCAATTGTTCAAGGCATCTGTGTACTTTAACTGTAGACCGATGAGGTTTACTTGAAGCGTGAATGTTTGTTAGGACTTTTGTGTATGCTACAGTTCAGCAGAGAAGGAAGGGAGCACATAGTGCATTTGTTCATATGTAGGTATATGGGGTGATAAAATGATGGGAGATGGGGGGTTTGTTATTGGAGTGGGGTGCGAATCTGTTTATCACTCTTTTGTGACCTGATGAAGTTTGACAGGGGTCTGTGGTGATGGAACAGGGAGGTTTCGGGCAGCTGGAAATGGCCATCATGATGCAGAGTTCCACAAGGTGACTTTGAGATAGAAAGGCTGAGGTTGTACGGTACACAAAGTCACGACAGAATGTCTTTTGATGATTTGTAAATTAAGGCTGAAAAAAAATAAATGGTTTTGGGGCATTGACATGCCAGTGTGCATCAGTCATGTTTATTGCCAATAAAAAAAGTAAAATAATTCAAAGTTCCAACATCATGTATCTGCCATGCTTGACAGCTGACATTGTACTAAAGTGTTTTTAAAAGAAGGTTTTCCTCCCTCATCAATTTTGTTTTTAAGAAAAAGTCCTACTTCCCGTCTTCCTCACTTTTGAGAAAAATCTGACCAAAACATATTTAAAAAAATATGCAGCCTAATATTAATACATGTACATATCATAATACTCTTTTACTAGGTTAAATTTGATATCACAAAGAGTAAGGTGTGAGTTGTGTCCCTTAGTTTACCGGGATACACTGGTAAAGATTTCCCCTGATAGTAATGATCATGATATGTCAGTAGTAGGGCTGGGATGAGTCCAAATTTACTACCAGGGTACCCAACCCGCTATTACCTGACCCATCCCGGTTACCCGCTGTAGGTCTTAGGGATAGGTCCATATGTCCAATTGGGAACAGTATGACCGTAGCCCTGGCAAAATGTATTTAGATACTCGTATAAAACGATCTGGTCATGCATACACTGAATTTGCCTGAAGTTTTATCTTTATTCAAATATATAAAGTCAGAAGGAATAAGTGTATAGTCAGAAAGAAATGCCAACATTAGTCACTTATAGTGTAAACATAGAGTTCGAGATAATTTTTGCCATTAAACAATATATGACGTGACTAACCACTTGTCCGGGTTGTCCTCTGGTTACCCGGGTCCTACTCAGTACCCACCCGACCCGAGTACCCGAGTTATCCGTCCCAGCCCTAGTGAGTAGCACACCTTCCTTGATGATTAATGTGGACAACAGGCATTGCTTTTGCTTGACTGACGTATTCTGGTGGTGATACCGGTATATGTGAAACACTGTTGGAAACTATTTTCTTGCATCCTTGATACATCTGGTGTGGCAGTGCCAATGACTATTCTGTTGTCCATATGTAAAGAGTCTAACGTCCTGAAAACGATGATCAATACCCCGATGTTGGCATACACGACGTTTTGGCACAATCCTCGATTATCCAGAGTATCATATCCTCATTCAGTTAGGATATATACCCCGACCCATTCACCACCAGTCTTGAATCTCACTTATCACTATCCTAGCACAGAATATCACCCTCTCATGAGCTTCAAGTAAATAACCAATCAAAATAAAATTGCTGAATGTGAGCACTGATCTACATTCAAAATCACAGCCGCATGTGTTGAATGGAGCTGGAAGACTTCTGTTTGAGTTGAGGTGAAATGGGTTTAACGTCAAGTGCAAGATTATTGCACCTACACAGCGACGTGCAAGCATGTCTGTGTGTGTGTGTGTGTGTGTGTGGCTGCTTGTACTGGTCTTGACTAATGACGATTTTATAGTGGTAGCCCACTGAGATACCTTGCTGCAGTTTTAACAGGAATACCCCACTCAGGAACAGTATACTGACTCCGAGCCAACCAATCCTGTTTTATAATCTGAATTCCAAGCACCAGGTAGGGTAACAATAAGTACCATTTCTAAAGTCTTTTGGTATGATGCGGCTGGGGATTGAACTCCCGACCTTCCGCTCTCCAGGCAGACGCTCACTTATATTTGAACTTTTAATTGGAAATAATGTTTTCCTGAGTGTTAAGCCAGGGGGAGGTAAATACTATGCTGCAAGATGTTTCTCGGCATATCTGGGGCGGCACGCAACAAGACGATACAAGTATTGGTGATAATGCTGCTTGTTTCAGTCATGGAAGTTGATTGGGCAGCTAATAATGGTATCATGTCATTCGACCTCAGACCCAGACAGAATGGCAAATTGGTCAGAATTGAGGTGAGGTGAAATTGGGTTTAACATCGTGTCCAAGATTATTGCACTTATATAGCGATGTGCATGCACGTGTGTGTGTGTTTGTTGCTGCTTGTACTAGTCCGGACTGATGCCGATTTATAGTGCTAGCTCACTGAGATACCATGCCGCAGTTTAACATGAATACCCCACTCAGACACAGTATACTGACTCCGAGCCGACCAGTCCTTGTTTTAGCCCCTTAATGCCGAGCGCCAGACAAGGTAACAACAAGTACCATCTTTTAACGTCTTTTGGTATGACGCGGCCGGGGATCGAACCCCGGACCTTCCGCTCTCCGGGCGGACGCTCTACCACAAGACCACGGAGGCGGCGGGTCAGAATTGAGATATAATGCACTAGATATTGGAAGATGACTCTCGTGTGATAAAAGGGGTGTTGTAGCTATTGTTTAAAGCCATTGTATGTATTCTAGGTACTGGTGGTTGATGTTTCTACATGCAATGAATAAGCTGTGTACAATCATTTTACAAGCATTACTTTTTCATTGACACAGTGAATGCTGAATGATGTTGCTATGGTGACTGAATGTTTGTCATGTGTGCAGCATGTAGGGGGCATGGGTGACCCAGTCGTCTAAGAAACCTATGGTTCAAATCCCGGTTCACCCTGATTATGTTTCTAGGTTTGTCAGCACCATACCCATACAGGTGGGTTTCACCAAAGTGGTAAATGTCTGAGACCTGCATCACTTTGGGCTTTCCTCCTTCTTCAAGGATAAGTTTATATTACATTGTCCTTTATGTTGTTAGTCCTTCAACATAGAGATAGCTACAGAATATTTGCAAGTTTCGAAACATTGTTCAAACCTTGTGATATGCTTCATGTTACAGTATAAAGATTCAGTTATTAGTCTATTTTATTCCAAGCATTCATGTTGGATATTTTAGAATTGTTATTGATGTTATTTATTTCATTCGTTATACTGTGTTGTACAATACAAATATTATTTTATGTAGATTTTTAGCTCTTGCAGCAAACTTTAATGTACCGGTAGCAAAAGTTATTTTGTTTTGCAGTTTTTTTGCAACAAATAAACATGTGATTAATGTGTGTATTTGTTTGTTACATCATGGGTGGCAGTGAGATAGCACCACAGGTTGTGTCTTGTTCCCACAAAAATGTCATTTCCACAAGGGACATCAACCTGCACCAGACCATTGCTGTAACATTATTACATCCAAGCTTCTAGCTTTAATTACTGCTCTCACATCAATACTTTATTTAACAAGTTGTTAACAAAACAGTAATGTTTCTGATAAAATCTATATGATCAAATTGATATGAGGCCAGAACAATTTAATTACTTCTTGTTCAGATTTTGATCCACAAAACCTTTATGGAATTGTTTTATTTTATGTTTTGTTAAATGTCTAACAAGTGACATGGGGATCAGTAAAACAAGTACAGTAAACTTTGGTTTTAACAAACTCAAGAGGGACCACTAATATTAGTTCATTATAACCCAAGTTGTTTATAAGCATACATACTGCCTAGACCAAAACATAAGTTTCTTATATCCATCGGTTTGTTATAAGCATGTTCGTTACAAATGTAGTTTACTGTAATTAAATTGTTCTGGAAAATTACATAACATGCATTCTCATCCTCAACTTGTTACCTAATCTTTAAATCCAAATATGACAGGTGTGGACCTACTGCTCATTGGGTACATTTCGAGTGATCTGAAGTCTGGTACTTGATTGCCTGGCCAAGAGTCGATAATGTTATGGAGAAATGACTCAAATCTATTGATTCCAAAAGTAGAATCAACAAGCCCTGAACGACTTAAACCATGCTATTGTTGATATATGATTTCTCTATAGTTTGGCATTGTGACCTACATTTGTGTCAGTTTTACTTGTTATATTTTGTTCAGTGGTGGCCCGTAAATATTCCTGGCACAGAATCAACTTCAACAACAATAGCGTGACATCATCATAATGGTTTATTTGCAGACCGTTATGATGTAGATGGAATATTGCCAAATGCAGCGTTAAACAACAAAACAAACAAACAAAAGGTGGAACACGCTGACTACAGCATGTAACACACACACTGTCCAGTTGTTTTGCAATAAGCATCCTTGCAAAGTGGTCATGTTTGGACACTGAAAGAAGCTACATCACAACTGAGAAATGTTTCATTCCAAGTGACTAGTCAATGGATTATGTATCATCAATACTTTATGGGTCTGTTTACATAGTGAATACACACATTTCTTGTGCAACGTGTTCCATGGCCTTTTAGCCTCTACTTTAGACACTGGTTCAATCTCAGACAACGGTAGACACATATAGGGTTCTGTTCATGAACACAGTCAAGCTCATTTGACTTCCAGGGCATAATGCACAGAATCATCTCATTACGTGACTGAATAGACATGCGTCACTATTACACCACACACTGGTCATATGCATTCCCAGGTGTGTACAAGCCCATGAAGTTTTGATGAGGACTGTTGGATACAAGTCTGGGACTACTCCTGGAAGTCAATCGGGATCTGAGAACTTTTATCAATTCATGCACCACAAAACAACTTGTTATTTTTGAATTATTTTATTTTACATACTGTTAACAAGGAAACTTAATGATGGCAAAATTTATATTTAAATGTACATTTAATTGTCCTAAAAAGACATGATATTGAAAAGAACATGAATCACATGAACATTATTGCATTGAAAACTACCTTAGCTTGTTGAATTACACATTTAACATTGTTATACATAGTAGTATACCAACTAACCACAAATAAAGTAATGCTGATAGAAAATGGAATAGTTATTGTGATAAAGCCATGAGCAAAACTAAGAGTTTGTTTAATATGTAGACATTTCAGAAACTGTAAACTTACTGCACAACAAATTTACACTTGAACATCAGGTCAAGTCCAACACTGTAAATTTGTGGGCATGACCACACCTGTCCCATTATCTCATCCTCAGACCCCAACTGGTATATTTGTGCCTAGTAATACCTCTTGACACAATATCACTCATCAAGATTATCTGCAGTAAAATATTAACAACAAAAAGATAATTTAGCAATTATGCATTGATTAACAAATAAAATACCACAAAATGTATTACTTAAAAAAATTGTTTTCAGATCTGAAATTAAGGAACAAATTAATAATGTACATAAATAATGTATCATTCCAATTTTCAACTGAAACGAGTCCAGTGACTTAGGTCCATTGGTATTACTATGCAAGGACAGATATTGCATGGAACATCAGAGGTCGCCTTTATCTCTCCTCATCTATTGTCCTTTGGTTCTTGGAACATTGAGATAATGGGGCTTCACATTAAAGGGCATGTTAAGGGCCCAACTGTACAAGCAATAACAGCTCCTACACCAGATCCTGAACATAGGACTGCCAAGTGTCAGGATCCCACTGGACAAGATAGAACTGCCTGTCTGGGAACCAGCCTTTAGACTAGAGGACATTTCAATCTGTGCATGAGGAATTCCTCCTGAGTAAAGATATCAATGATTAAGTAATAAAATCATTCCATGGCAATAATCATACTGTATTTCATAAAATATCAATTCCAAAAGAAAAATTAACAACAAACAAGGGATTAAGTAACTATTGTTTGATTATTCTCTTTTCAGTTCTATATAAAAAAAAGTGAGACAATGATTAACAGGGGGAAAAAGATAAGTTTCTAAAATGTCATCACTGATTCATATCATTGTTTTTGAGACATTAATCATTAAGAAGTAATCCTGAGAGAAGACAAGCAATGTCTATATGTCTACCAGTAAATAAATCAAACAGCTATATCACCTCATATTCAAAGATAATTTACATTTGACCATGTCCAAAATGACACCTTTCCAATGCAGGGCGAATCTTGGAATGTGCGTAGCCACTCTGATGCCTAGCACAGTAAATATGATGCCATGCCAAGAGTTCCCCTTTTGATCAAGGTGATACAGGTAATTTGAGGGTAATTATCAGTAGTACTAGTAGGAGACAAAATAGATACGTGAAATCCATATCTGAGGCAAGCACAGGAAATAGTGACTCCAGCCACTTTTAAGCCATATGATTCAAAACAGCATTCGTACAAACATATATGATATTGTCGTCAATAATGAGCATCACTAAGGCTGCAGCATATGGCCTGCAGATATGTCATATTTCTATGAATTGCATTTGATTTTCATGTACAAAAAAACAAAATGTCAGCACTTTAAATTGATGAATGAAATTGGAAGAATATGCAAACTTGAAACAAAATAAATAGTGACATACGACATAAAAACAAGAAGCAGCACAGTGTTGGTCTTCACACAATCACTACAAACTAAACATAAACAGCAATTGCACATGTACATAAAATGTGGAATGTTATCGACACAAAATTGTAATATATTAAACCATACATTTTGGTTACTTCTTAGTAAAATATCACAAACAGTTAAAAATTGAAGAATTTTATGCATCAGAAAACACACAAGCATGTAAAGAAAGTAATGTTTGTTACAGTTTCCAAGGATTGCTTCCAGTTCAATAGTCAAGTGAAGCCATGACACTTTTCCCTTACCCAACACGTTCATTCTTATGGACTGCGAGAATTATTTTGAAATTAAGTAAATAATTCAATCGTGTGGGAGAAAAACAAGGGACACAAGTGATAGTATACCGTTTAGGTGAAACCCACAGACACAGAAGGACACAAATGCCAGCAGGTCCAACAAATAGTGGCATCTTTTGACAACTCAACAATCCTTTTCCCCCATTAATTCTTTCATGTTCTAAATATACTGTAAACCATTTAATGTTAGTACAAAACAAGTTGGTATATATAGACTTCTGCTGCTAACAACATTTGGTATTTCAAGAAATAATAAAAGTCTTGGTTGATTACTCATTGAATTCATTTTTGTTTCCCAAGGGAGAATTACGTTTCTTTACCTGCCCATGTTACTTCCGAACAAATTGCATCAATGATAGAAACAGTATATTTCCTTGCAAAATAACGAAGAAAAAGCATTAATCAACAAAGAATCAATCCCAACCATCAACTTAGACATCATAATTTTTCTGATGGAGTCTGATTCAATAGCAGCATCAGAAAATAAACTTGATGTGTGCAGTACAATATTCATGGGGCAAGTGGAACGTAGAAGCCGACTACCTCTTTTGCTTATTTCAATCACAAAGAAACTAGTTTTTACTGACCTAATATTAATCAGTGACTGACTGTAGTTATTAGTATTTGTGAGTCACACAACATCATATGTAACCGGTAGTGGGTATGTGTGACAACCAAGAGCATTATTCTGACAAATTAAATAAATAAAGTTAGTTCCTAATCATCTTCAGGTTATTCTAATTTCTTGCTTTACGGTTTCACCAACAAAATTTGAATAAAGTTTTAAAGTCTGTTGAGTAATTAATGAAAAATCTTCAAAGTTGGGGCAACACAAAAATTGGAGGCGAAGTAACTCTTTGACTTGACACTATATATATTTTATTAAAAAAAGTGTTTTTTGGGGGGTGGGTGGGTTTGGTTTAAAACAAAACACATTTATCAAGTGATTGTAAATTTCTAGTTTCTAACGCTCATCAACAGCTGTCATGGCTGGTGGCTGGTCCTGGTTGTGCAACACTGTGGTTGTTGTAGCAATGCTGCAGGAAGCTGTGGAATGTTCTCTCACTAGGTAGCATCAATATAGGGGTAGCATCAATATAGGAATAGCAAGTCAGGCATACCACCTGGAATCAGTATGTACCCAGAATACTCAATAAATAGATATAGTGGACAAAATTACAGTACTGTGCACTACAATCAAGCACTTAAATCAACCATTAACTGAATATCAACTGGAAGATAGTCTGTTGACAAAAACACTGAAATCGTCCATCAATGAACTATCTTATTAGTTGGCAATTCCCAATCTGACCACAATAATAGATGGCATGTATATACTTCAAATCTAACCAAAGTTATTGAGGTGGATTAGCAGTTGAAGGATCTATGCTGCGATGGGGTTAAAATGAGTGATTGAATCAGTGAAGATTCATGAGGCTATTTATGATACACAAAGCCAAATGGACAAGTCTACATCCAATCTACTGGATGATAAACAATGTCAGAACAAACAAATGCCATTTCAGTCATGTTAATGTCTCTCTGGGAACAATGTCATGGACAAATGGAGGGAAACTAACCCTTAGGGACCATCTCAAAAGCCTTATCATTAATTCTTTTCATGACCAAAAATGCTATCTTTGTCCTGTTTATTGCAAATGAAATTTTCTCAATTGAAAGATTCTTGTTGGGACTTCAATATTGAAGAAAGGATATGATAGCATAACAAAGGCTGAAAAGAAATGAAAATACTTGAAAAAGACAATACAAGAGAGTCTCTTCGAGTGCTAGCTGCCCAAATCATGTTACAACTATTTACAGCTATTCTATTCACAATAATCTACACAAAAATACTAAAACTAATCAAAATATGCACACAGACCAATAACTGATTAAAATATGTCTGACATGATATAATAATTGCAATTGTGACTACCTGTCATTCATTCATGATGTGGAATTCCTATTAAACAGTGAATCATAATATACATGTATTTCAAAGGTTCTCAAAATCCTAACTCATGGATATTTGATATACCTAGAAAAACAATTCATCATAAATTTCACCGGGTAATTTATGATATGGAATCATAATGACAATGAACACAATAGTGTTGCAGAAAACACTGGCTGTACAATATTCAGTCAAAGCCTTCATTCACATACAGCAACAAACACCATTCACATAACACTGGTCCTCACACAGATATGCACCATCAACAGTAACTGCAAAACACTGGAAACATCTCCGTTGTGTTCACTCAACCACACTCACATAACACTAGCTTTAGGTAAATGGAAAAGGGAGAAACTGATCAATGATGATTTTGATTATTTCCAAATTTGATGTAACAAACATCCTTCCAAGTACATGTAATTAAGGTAATTCAAGGAGCTTCAACAATCCTTACCCACTTTGGGATAAGTTGAAGGGATGAAGTGTCTAAAAGCCAAAATATGACAGCTAAAAAAATATCTTATATGTCATGCCATAGCTACACAAAGATATATTTACCAGAAAATTACTAGATTGATAGGCTACCAATTTATACTACTCAAAAGAAGTTAAGGAACACCCAAATGGTGGTCCTTAACTTTTTTTGGGTAGTATAAAAAATGTAACATTGTTTTATTTACCCAGTTAACACATGTCCAGAAAGGTAAACAAATAGAAACATTATATCCTTCAGCAACTCAACAAGAACAGGTCGGTTCAACGGTGACATTCAAATTCCCTTCCTAGCCAAAGACCTTTCATACTAACTGTAATTTCATCAACAATGACTAAGTACATCCCAGATAGAACAGCAACACTAACACTTTGTGATGATGTATATTTGCACACACTGATTATGTAAATCGTTGTCGCTGAGTGGTAGTGTACCTATGGCACAAGGCAAGGTATGGTCACTTGCATTGCTGTATGGACATAAGGACAAAACAGTGTCACATTGTACTTGGTCGATACCCCTGGATGTGACTCCCGACTCACCCATGAAGACTGAATTTGATATTTGTGGAAAGGAAACAATAATACTGTGTATGGAGAGCTGGGCCAGAGAAGGTATTTGAGCCCAACTCATTCAGTTCATTTTGAAATTTGCCAATCTTGTCAATCATGTGGAAGGATTCATGTATTATTCCCATGGCATTTCCTGAAAGGGAGGTAACTTTTGACAATTGATGAGAGTCAAGTTGCAATGTCATCAGGATTACCCACACATTCCACAGGAAGGATGCACAGCTTTTGGAAGTGGTTTGTTCAAGTTTAGGTCCTGCTCTTGAAACACATTGCTTGAACTTTAGTTCACATTTCTTGAAAAACATACTGAAGCACATCACTGTGACAGTATCTCTGATAAATGTCTCCCTTAATCACAGAGTCACATCCACTGGTACTTGCAGTCAGTGAGTAGCATGTGTAAGAATATACAACAACTATATATATATATATTAGCTATTCACTGAACAGTTAGATTTTCAAATATTGAAAATTACTGTACACAATTATATGAAGATATGGACTACTCTGATATCTACTGTCAACAGTAAGGCAGTGCATGCCTCTAGTCTTTACACACCAGGCTGTCCAACTCCACGCTGTAGATGTATGTACATGATATGTGCCTGCTGTGTCTATGTACAGTGCAGCTACTGGGATCTATTATATACACATGGTTGTGGTGAAATAGTGTCATTAACAAGTGAGAAATCAAGTCAAACAAACATGCACAGTCCTAGACACATCCCACATGCATCTCCACAATACAATACCCACACAAAAAACTGGCATCTCTTATCAGCCTTCCATAAAAAACAAGGTTACAAAACCTTGAACAGAATGCTCCAAGTGTTTTCAATGATTCAGCTGTACTAGTCCCAAGGAGTTAACACAAATTTGTGAAAACTGATCATGATAGTACTTTTATACTGTGACAATATAGGATTCACAGAGTACATGTATAAACAAAATATTCATCCTTTTTCATGTTGCTTCATGAACAAACATGGCACACGAGCTATGCCGGCGGACCATGTATTCAGACACACATCCTACTTTACCTGACGTCACAACAAAGTACAACATCACAGCACTATAGTTCGAGGAGTCCAACATTTCACTGCTCAGCAGTCGCTTTCAACACCAACATGCTATAATCTCTTCCTGGGATGTTCTACCTCACACTACCGCAAATCCCTTAAAGCCAGGTTTACCTTCAGAGTTACAATACAAGTTCCATAGACATCAGCAGTGCAACTGTCACGTATCATTAACAAGTCTCCACAACATCTTCCATCAGAAGAAGCTTAGCACTAAACATATCAATCAATGGTAAACATCCTGCCGCAGATCCAAGCTATGCAACACAACAGTCAAACAGATCCTATGTTATCCCATTAATGCATTCCAATACTGGTTTCTGTCTTCAACAATTAATGTCATCCCCTAAACAAGCACAGAAACCCGGATTCATGTCTTCACCAAGGATGAGCATCCACCTTAGCGATCCACTACACAGACGACTCTTTTAAACAAGGTGCTGGCACTTCAATGCTGCGTCTTGCCTGCATCTGTGCATGCATGTGTCCTTTGTGTATGTGTGGTCGGTACCGCACTGGGCCCCGACTGGAATCTCTTCGGCCATAGCCATTGTAAACCTGGTCCCCAAAGCTTTTCACAGACATAGTGTCTCTTGCATCAATGTTTGAGCGACTGCGACTCTGCCTCTGACTGAGACTAGAGATAGACATGTTATCCCGTTCACGCGGCTCCATCACGTAGGCATCATTTTGCCGTCGCTGCACGGTGTGGGGTCGGGGAGGTCGGGAATATGTGTTCATGTTACTGTCTGTCTGGTGTTGTTGTGTGTTGCGTGAATGATCCATCAGAGCATCAATTCTCATCTGAATGTCACGACCGACGGTAGCATACTTCTCAGGAATTTCTCGGTCTTCAGAATTACGTGCAGAGCCTTTAAAAATAATTTCAAGATGGTGAATTATTACTGGTAACATAATCAAATACCTTTAAAACAAATCATATTTTTTATCATTTATACCAGGAATCATATTACAAATGCATCTCATTTCGATCTTACATACACACAACATTGAAACATCCATTTCCATATTCCACAGTTGGTAACCACTAAATCATTTACGAACATAAGCATCGACTAAGCATATATCCTTAATGTGTGTAGGTGGCAAGTTAATCTAAGACATCACTATTCAAACACAGCAACAGAAGAAATCAGCTCTTCACTGCAAAATCAAATTATCAATGCACTATATGTCTGATACCAGGACTGACATACCTGATGTGCGAGTGTCAATGGTCTTGAAGTCTCGATGGACATATGTCCTCTCTTCTGATGCCCTTCTCTCCTCGGACACTCTCCTCTCCTCGGACAGCCTTCTCTCCTCAGGCACTCTCCTCTCTTCACTTATCCTCCTCTCCTCAGATGATCCTCTCTTCTCCAACATTCTCATCTCCTCCAAGGCTCTTGTTCCGTTGGGTAACGGTGCAGCCATCACAGGACTTGGAGGCACGATCTGTTTTGACTCAGCCACCATGACAGACATCTTGTCCTGCGGCACATGAGACACCACCACAGGCCCTTCACTGGAGCTGCGCCGTTGCCTAAGATCAGACGAAGCTCTTGATGTATGGCTTGGGCTTTCATTGGGCGAGGAAAGATACCCTGAGCCATTCACAGCTCGCACAGGGTGGGAAGAACTGTCATTTGTTGAATGAGAAGTGTGATTTGAACTGTCCGTTGAATCCCGTGAAGAATAGGAGTCTGTTGGAGGGCGGGGAGGGCGGTGGCAATTGGCATCATGACTAATGTTAGGCCTTGTCCTTTCCTGTGATCTGTAGCTTCTCCTGAATGTACCACTCTCGTGATCGTGTCCATTCAGAAGGTTAGAGGAATGGCTGTGCTTCTCAGGTAACTGAGGAGATTTGACACCGTACACTTCACTATTGTGTCCAGAAGTCCGATTTAAACTGAAACATGCACCCATCCCTTTATGAGCATCAGGCTCTGAGTGCTGCCGAACAAGTGGAGCTCGTACTCGGAACTCCTGAGTTACCTCCCTTCCCCGAGATGTTGGACTGTGGTCGTAATAATCTATTTCCTGTGGGCTGTAGTTCTGTCTTCGTGGAGGTTGAGGGGTGAGAGGTCGCAGGATAGGTTTGATGGGATGCTCTCCCATTTCCCTCCGCAACGTGTTGGGCGTCATAGGCTGGGAGTGACGTGGGATCTGCTGGGGTGAGGAGGTGTCAAAGTGTACCGACTTGGCACTGGTCGGACTGGAAGGGCTGGGGGGAACATGGTTGTTGTTGTTATTGTTGTTGTTGTTGGTGTACATACGGAAGATCCAGTGTTTGCCAGTATGCAGGTTTTGATTGCAACACTTGGATAGGCTGCGCCGCTGGTAGAACAGCAGGTAGGCTGCTTTAGATGTAACTTGTGACTGGGACATGTCCTTCACCCTTGTGTCATCATACTCATGCCACTGGCCATCAATAGGGTTCTTACAAAACGCTGCAAGCAACCAAAGAAAGACATGAGTGAGTGAATGGTGTTTTACAATTCAGGCATCAGCTTGATAACTTTTATCAAACAAACCAATAGAGCATCATAAAACAAAGTGCACCATAGTAATCCCCATTGCAGTGTGGTTCTTAATAATCGGGTTCTGGGGACCTATTTTGCCCTGGCATCCATATGTGAAAGGCACACATGAACAAAACAAATAGAAAATACCATAAATTAAAACCTGCATCATCAGAAATTCTGAAAACATTTACCATAGATTCATCTTTGCTCCTTACATCCATTTTTTGTTCAAACTATTGTGTGATTATACTTACAAATTCAAAATGCAATCTTAGTAAGGGAAATCTATAATATGGTGAACAATTATGGGCATACGGTAATACATAATAATACTGTATGGAATTACAAATGATTCAGTTTTGTTCAAATTCCCACTCACAAACACAAGCTCACTTAAAAGAAGCTGTGTTAGCTCCAAGAGTTCAACTGATGACTACAGAAGTGCTTTACACTACTCTACTCTACTCTACGTCATAGAACACAACGGGAGTGTCAGGGACAAGGTCATCAGAAACGTCACGTATGAAGCAACAGGAACACAATCTATGGTCTCAGGTATCACAAACCATAACAAAAACTGTTTTCTGTCCTTCACTTCTAACAACAATCACATTACTAAACAACAGTGTTAATTCTAGAAGTGGTGTTAAAATAAATACCAGTGTATATATATACCAGGATTAGGACAAAAACTCGGAACAAGGCCACTAGTATCAGCCTTTCAGGTTGAAGACTTTTCAGTTCTTTTTTTTTTTTGTTCTTTGAAAACATCGATCATCTAATGTCAACCACAAACTTTCAATGTTTTGCTCATAACTATATGTAAGGTTAAACATTTCAAATATTTCTGTACATTAGATGTACCTAATTGCAATAGTATTGCAATAGTGACTGAAGCTCATGCAACCATATTGCAATAGTACAAATACACTCAACAGTCCCCCTCATAAACATGCAGGCACCATAACAGATCAACTTCAAAATCAAGGCTGTCAGATCCTGTCCTGATCATGGACTACTATTTGAGACACTGTACAATCCTCTTCTAATATTTGTCCATACCTGTATAATGGCCTCCATTCATGTTTCCATAGTGATTACAAACAGCAAACAGATCATAAACCATGTCATCATCCCTCCCTCCTGAGGTGTCCTTGCCATTGGTCAATCTGTGTCCAGGGTGACCGTTCAGTATGTCCTCCCTCTGGACCACGTGTTCAGTCATGTTCAGGTCACTAACAGGGAAGTTCACCAAAGTGTTCAGCTTGTTCCTTCTCATGCCAACCTGAAAACATGATGAACAGTGATAATAGCTCATGCAATGGCCAATAAGCCACAAGCTGATAAATGAAAAAACACAAGCTGATGATGACAATGTTGTTTTCTGCCCAGACTGTACTGCACACCTACTTGGAATATTGTAGTGACCGCAACTCTGCATTGTTTAACATATCATTGTACATATCACATTTCAAAGTGCATACCAACAATGATTTAGCAACAAGAGTTGTCATATCCCCCGGTCGAAGTTAAATCAGTACTTTTAAAAAATCGGGCATAGCTTCCGCGAACCCAGCTACCCGCCGGAATATTTTTTTTAAATCTTTGATTATATTTTTCCGAGGACTTGGAGACTTAAGATGATTTTTTTCCGAGGACTACTGTTTAAAAAAAAAAGCGATTTTCCTCATTTCCGCAGAGATTTCACATCCCTGCAATATCCCAACAGTTACGGAGTTCTGCTCCAGAAACGTCCATTACCCTTCATTTTTAGTAAAGTCCAACTTGTCATGAAAACAAGCAGGTTGGGTGTCTCAGGAAAGTTATCAGGTTGTTTCAAGTTTGATGTTTAAATGTTTGTAGGGAAGAGGCAGACCTGAGATAAACAGACATTGAATTTAGAATAATTAGTTTATGTTCTGAAAGTAATATGATCCGGACATCAAATCAGTTCTTTCAACCAGCGGTGGTTATTGTGACATGTAACCTCTGATTGACCTATCAAAATCAAGTACTTACCAAATGCTTGGAGGAATACCATCCTTCAATGTATTGCAATCATCACTGACTGTATTGCCTCCCATATCAACTTGCATTGTGAGCATGATGGGTGAAATTGATCTCATGATTTCTCAGCTATGTTTATCTCTTAACTATGATCATCCTGAAAGCCCACCTGTTTAAACCTCTTGAGGTGTATGACTAGGACATCTGGCAATGACCACAGACCCAGGGTCTTGATGGTGCCTTGTTGCTGCTTCTTACAGTGGGGACATAGCCAGGCATCGTCACCACTCAACTGAAACAACAAGTCAATCTTACATCATCCCAGACTAGAAACAATTCATTCTGTAGAGATACTTCCAAAGCAATGTTATCATTGGCATAACTACTGTTCTCAAACTTAGACTAACAATAGCTGTAACACAACGTTTGTATCGCGTACTTTGGTCTACATATGTTAACTCTTTTCACTGAACTTAGGTTATATCATGGTCTGACTACTTAATGTTTCAGGAAAATCCATTTGGTGAGCCCAAGAACTTGGTTATCACTAACTTGGATTCAGCCTTACTGAAGGATCTTATTAGCTGAGGGACTCAATTATGTACAGCAAGTCCAGCATAAGTTTACACTATGAGCAACAATATTAGAAGTTAACTATCTGCAAGACACCAGGTCTTGAACAGACAGCCCACCATCAAGGCCTTATAACAGACTCACAAGAGCTACACATCAGTGGTCCTTAATGCAAGTGGAATCCATACATAGCTGCCATTTTAGTTGCCACTCAGGAAAAGATGAAGGAACAAATGTCACCAAAAAATAGAACAAATATGCCTTCTTTGATCTTATCAAACTGACATTGTATCTACACAGGTCAATGCAGACTTACATTAAACGAACTATTTCAAAAAAAAACAAACTTATAGTTAAAAAATGTAACAAAAAGGAGCCAAGAGACTTTCTTCATTTTCATATACTGCATTAATCTAGACTTGCTAAATTTTATAGACTTGCATGGACTGTTTTGAAAATATTTGTTTCAGGGTCTGACAGACTAAGGTCAATGCTTCAATGGGTTTATCACTGACTCACCTTCTCCTCCTGTGTGTAGAGTTTGAAGCACTCATCTAGCGATGCTGTCGGACTCAAATGCTGGGAGATACGGAGGTGGTGGACTGACGCGTGTTCATCAATGTTATCATCATCCTCGACAACAAACCTGCAAGACACAACCACATCCTGCATAAAACTACACAGCTGTTTCTCAAACTTCACACACATTTCTTAGAATAAATGCTTTTATTCCATCATTTCTTCATACATGACCATCAATGGTTTAACAATAATTACACATTTCAAATTGTAGCATTCCCCAGCCATCAAAGCCAAATTTGGCACACACATGTGATTAAATAACTATACATTGAACAAGCAACATTAGACTGGTGTTACCAGTGGCAGTAAAATTTTAAGATATGTCCGTAAAATTCCACAACAGTTATTTAACTCAACTGGCTCACAAGAACTATTGCTCAACTTTATTTGGGTTTTGCTCAGTCACAACCAAACCAACATGGTGGATGAAACAGGTTTTCAAAAATGATTTAGTCATTACCCTTTGCAGCTAGCTAATATTACAAATGGCTCTTAAATATTTTCAACCAGTGGGACTGCTTATTTGATATCTATCGTTCTTGAATGTGTGACTATGAATCATCAGACTTCACTGTGCAATCATGTCATTACAAACTGTAACGTACGCCTCTTTAATCTGTGTGTCCCATTCAGCCATCAACTTGACGTGGACAGGCCCATAGTCCTCTCCGTAGTACGTCATTACTCTGCAACAGATCACAACATTTCATTCATATTTTGGATTAAGAAACAACAGAATTCCTAGTCTTAGAAACATTAAATAGTTTTTCAAAACAGCTTGTGTTCTCTTTCTAGTCCATACATAAAATTAGCAAAAATACCTCAATGAGTAAATACTGCAAAATTACTGACAATACATGCTTTAATGTTAACCAATAGCCCAGAGCAAAAGTCTAGTAAAAACATTTGTCTGGTGCAAGCTCAGCTAATAAAGGTCAAATATTAACAATAAACTCTTCGAGGCAAGTTCATGATAAAAGACTGAAAAGTTTTTGGACTACAATGATAACATATTGTATATTATTATATGCAATGTAATTTCAATGCAATATTTTTACTCCAAATGACATCATAGTATGTATTGTTGCACGTACATCTCAGTGCACAACAAAGCAGTGAGACAAGGAACTGACACACAGATACATATAAGTTAAAAACAAAGTATTTTTCGGTTCTTGCAAACTAGGTTATTGTTGGAGAATGATTCCCTATTCTAAATGAGGTAATACAGCAAGTTCTCCTGTTGTCAAAGTTCCCTACCTGTCCACTGCCTGTGAGTATAGAGGCATCTCCACATCTAACGGGAGGTACGCCTTGCTGGGGTGACAGTCCACAACTCGCAAGTTGAATAATACTGATTTCTGCAACAGTGAACAAAGATATTGTTATAGTGGTATCTACATCCGGTATTCAAATGAAAATAACATACTGAATCAGATTATGTCCTTTTAAGAGCAGCATCAACTTTGTACTTTTTCTTTTCACCTGAGAGAAAGGAATTTGCTGATTATTAAATATTTTGGAAACATACCAAAATTTCTTTTAATTACAGAATTGGCAGCCCACAATAACTAAGTGTAATTCTCTAAACTTTTAATATGTTTAATAATGATAAAAATTGTAAGGTTAATTAATACACATTTATTCCTAATATTCTGCTGTATTGGCTGATGAAAGGGAGACAATCCACACCTGGGTGAGGGCTTCTGGCTTTACTGCATCCCCCATGCAGTGCAGTATTTCTTTCTGCAGACGTTTATAAGTAAAGTCTCGCGGTACTCGTAAAACACTTGGACTGCAGAAGCGGAAACTGAAAAAACAGAATCAGAATGAGGAAAGGAGAGATAAAGAGAAGAAGAAAAAGACATCTGATGATGATGATGATGATGATGATGATGATGATTGTGGACACTAGGTATGGTAATATTACATTCCTATTCAGCTACTTACGTCCCAACCCAAGATTGTCGTAAGGGGCGACTAACGGGTACGGGTGGTCAGGCTCGCTGACTTGGTTGATGAATGTCATTGTATCTCAATTGCCTGGATCAATGCTCATGTTGTCAATCACTGGATTGTCTGGTCCAGACTCGATTATTTACAGACCGCCGTCATATAGCTGGTATATTGCTAAGTGTGGCGTTAAACAACAAACAAACAATTAAACTTACAGTCCCTGTGGGCTGGTCGACTTCTCTACATGTACTAGGAGGATGTGTATGAAGGGTGTCTCGTAGCGGGAGGAAGCACTGGCAGGGTCATTGTCTGGCAACGTCTCGAATGCATAAACTGTTTCAGTCTCTGGGATGTCAGAAAGAGGCTGGTCATCTCCATATGTTGAGCGAAACCCTTCCTCCGACATCTGACACAGCACAATCTGTAAAATGCAAGGTCACAACTGTATGAAACTCTTCACCTTGATTGATAGTATTTTTATAGAATTAGGTGTCTGTTGTTTCATGCAGCAAATCAATGCAGCCTGTAAATAGATTTGTTGGAAACCAATGGTTGATGTAATGAGCAATGTCCCACTGTGCAAAGGGCACAATTATACACAATCAGCCACATTGCAAGGCACAGAGCCTGACAAAGCAATTCCTGTTTAATGGACTCTTACCACACGTGCAAGACTTAGAATTCCCCAGGGATACAAAGGAAATGATGTGAAACTGATGCAAAAATGTACAGGGAGATATCTTTCAACAGCAGAATTTAGCACTAAAGTTTCTCCTGCAATGGTGCATGACGCTGAAATACACAGGTTCAAATCTGGACGCAGGCAGAATAGGTCCCAACCTCTCCAAAACTGAAACAGGTATGGGACGGCTACAATGTATGTTCTGGTTTGTGTGTCAGTCACTCACATGATGTAGACTGTTCCTCCAGCTCAAACAACCGACTTTCAGGTCCAGTTGTAATATTGTTGACTGCAGAAAACAACTCAGTCACTCACACCAGCTTGTTTACACAAATCATATCCCTAGCAGTAGAAACAGACATTTCCTATAACCATAAATACAATTTATTTTGATGGAGACAAATGTCAGGACATTTTCATGATCACAGGACACTCTTGCAGATCATAAAAAATTAAATTCAACTTTAGGCCATTTTGGACAACAATGTACAACAAAATGAACCAATCTGAAACCAGTAACATCAAAGATATGTCTCTGAAAATCACATCTTTCACAAGCCCTTGTCCAAAGACTCAAAATGGTTCATGGTCAAAGCCTAGTGTTAATTTCTTTCCCCTCATGGAAGCAGCAATTTCCCTCAGCTCCAATCTCCTTCCTGCCTAAACCTATTCCCCTCCCTCCCCCACTTTAATCAATATATTGTATAACCAGCAAGGACATCATCCCAGCAGCATCAGCAACATCATCCACCACAGCCAACTCACTTAGCTTCCCATCCCAGATCAATATAAACAGCCTTATCTACAGATTGTTTGTACGTATCTACTGTTTAGGGGGCCACAAAGGACCCCATTCAGCCTCCACCATCCTGCCCTAGTCATTACCAAGATACATTATGTTCAGATCATCAAGTATGTTGGCTTGTTTTCGGATTGCAAGGTGGAAGGTCTGCATCAATATGGTACCCTAAAGGATTCAACAACTGCTTTTGTTGGTCTTGTTTAGGTGTGTCAGTGTGCATGTTTTAAAGTTACTGCAACAAGCTATCGGTGTGCACCTAGTTGTCAGACTACAAGGGGAGAGGACAAAAACTAGCCCCATTCCCCAAAGTTGTCCTAACACTGGAACCGAGTGAGTGAGTGAGTGAGTGAGTGAGTGAGTGAGTGAGTGAGTGAGTGAGTGAGTGAGTGAGTGAGTGAGTGAGTGAGTGAGTGAATCCTAACCCTATCTTACAAGACATAATATGATTACGATAATATGAAATCTAAAACTGATAGAGCACAGTGCAACAAACCAACCCAATGCATGTACCCATGGTTAGGACCTAGTACATGGAGATGACTGACAAGCTGATCCACTTTCATTTAATAAAGGCAACAAATTGATATGTCAAGAGCTTTAAAACATAACAGCCCGAAACTGTCTTTGTACTTACCCACCATAATATTGAGCCACAGCGAGAGGGTGAATGTTGCGGTTTGTACAACCAAGCATAACAAGGAGCTTGGCCTTACAAAATAATAAATGTTCAAATTTGTTACTGACCTTCTTTTTCTTTTCTTTTTGGCAAATTCTTGGAGAAAAAACTTAGTAACTGCTTGGAGCATGATTAACTTTAATGATAAAACTGTCCCACTTACATTCCCATTTTCCTCCTACAAACATATTGACAACTGTATTGGTTTTCGGTTGTTTTCCAACTGAACAAATTCCCAAGCAAAATAGTGTTTCACGCTTGATCAGTCATCTGAAGAATATCAAGCCGTTAGATAAGCTTCCCAGAAAAGATGAAATCTATAATTCATGGAAAGGCATCTGTAGAGGGCATGTCCATTGAATTTCAATCAGTTGATTGTTGCCGATACCTCCAGTAGGCAGCTAACACTAGACGCATCACAGTAGCCTTGTATTCAAGAGATAAATACAATCTATTCCTATGAATAAGTTATTGCTGATTAACAGTTTTAGTTCAATAATGGCATCAAATATCTTAAGAGAAACCGGGCAGATAAAAAGGTTTTGCCTTGTGTTATTTGTAAAAAAACACACATAAAAACTGTACATTTGTTCACTGTTAATTCAGGAACAAAACAGTGTATCTTATTTCAATATCCAGCTGCCAGTAGAATGTATTGATGTGCAAGAAATGTATTGTCAAACAAACGATACAAAAAATGTTCTCAGTCTCCAAGACATCAATAATGCAACAGAAAAACAAAGTTGATTTGTGAGACACACAATCAAAGAATTTGCAGAGAATAATGGTTGAAGAGCATTTCTGTCAGTTCATGATGTTTTAATAAACATTCTTCCTTACCATGATTTCCATTGCTAGAGTCTTTTTAAATTGTTAAGGATATTCTGAAAATTATTCAATGGCATAAAATCTGGACCAATCTGCAACTGTTATTGTACATGGACCATGCTACATCCTGGCCCCCACACTTGACCCAAGGTTATTTTGACTCCATGTATACAGTTGGTACTAAAAACATGTGACAATCAGCCTAAACTTGGTTCTTAGCATCATTTTCAGGAGAATTCAGAGGGTTTTTTTTTGTAATATGAACTACTATTAACAGGGCCTACAAGACTGAATAGAATGTTTCTAGACTTCCAAAGCTTTAAGATGATTCAAAACTGCACAATGTATTTTCACTATCAAAATCTGGAAACATGAAAAATGTCTATCCAATTCCAGTACACAATGTGCCTCTTTAATAAAAACTAATCTAAAGACATGTCGATGTACCAATAATTGCAGAGCCTTCAACAAACACATGTCTGGAATACATCTGTGAAGTGGTTCAAAACAGGCATCTAAAGCATTTATTTGCACATCAACAAAAAGCTCATTTGCTGCTACACATAGTTGAAGTAAGATAAGCATATGCCAGGGATTCAATCCTTCACAGCGGTGGTTCAACATGTAAGCTTACATAAACCCTTAAAGAACATAAGCTTTCTTCTGGAGCCTTCTCCATGCACCAATCCTTCCTGCTGAGGGGGTGTTTACAGAAATTACTTCAACACAGCTACAGTGCCTTTTAGTGCAACAGGAAGACAATATGCATATAGGTCTGGAATCCAATAAGATCATCAGTACATGGGGAATTATGATGAGATACGACTGTGTAAATGACCCTAGGAATTTCTCTCAGTCCACTTAATAGCTTTGTGGTTTTACAAAGCTGATGGGAGTGGAAAATCAATGGCCATCCGATGAAGATGCTTATTTTCTTCCTTTTCAGCCATGCATGTACACAATATGGAAGCCGACGGGAGACAATGGCCGAAGATAGCTTTTCATTAAAGACTATTTCCCTTTTATCTTCGCCAGAAGCTTTTGTTAAGTTATTAGTAGGCCATATTACATCTCTATTTTGAAGATGGACATCTTGGCTGTTTCTAAACGGAGATATTCTGTCTGTGTATTCTGAAACTCTTTTGGAAAAGTATCAAAATTATCTGAGAAGATTTATAATAATATATACCTGTTTGAGTTCAGGTAATTCCTTGTATATTTTGTTTGAATATACCTTTTGATGAGTTTTCTTGATAAGATGTTTCTGGAAAATCTGTATAAAATTATCCCTTTCATATCAAATTTTAAGTAAGTTAAAAATAAATCAGTTTGATATATTATATTGGACAACAAAATGTGATCCAAAAAACTTACATAAATGCATCAAATAGGCTTCATGCCAAAGATGTCAAGCATAACGTCCAGGTTTACCTCAACCAATCAATTATAGTAAATTTACCACATTTTCTAACTTTCTGCCTTACATCAACATCAGATCCTATGCAAAGTCCCTATGTGTCATAGTAGGGTCGCACTTCATCATCCAAACTTGAAGCCAGCGGAATGTCAGGTCAACAAGCCACAACCCAGATTTCTCACAGAAAAAAACACTAACATATATCACTTGCAGTGTTTGTGGTGTTGAGACAAGCTTGAGTGGATATCTCATTGGAACTTAGCTTCAGGCAGACGTTTGTAAACAAGTTTGTAAACTGCTGAGAAATTGATTGTTCAAGAAATAAAAATAAAAACAATTTTAATGTAAATCTACCTGCATTGTTAGTAATATAAAGGTACGTTTCAAATCAACTTCCTTGTTGAATGAAAGCAGAAAGTCATAAAACTGCATTGATATAATGCACTGCAGTCATAAATGACCATGAATTGTAAAATGGGGTATATAAACATTAATAATTTATAACATTAAAATTCAAGTCGATTGGATGTGGGAAAATATCATACACAAGAAGTGGTCAAAAAATCCTCACAACAGTGTCATTGTGATTAAAACTTCCTCCAAACCAATTCTCCATCTGGGCATAATTCCAAAACAAATTAATGACTCACATCTGAACAGATTGTGAAAATCTACACCACAAACCATGTTTCTTTGTGTTCTACCTGAGTTGTAAACAAAGACAACATCCCAACTGGGTCACACGAGACATTGTAATTGTGATGCCCTTGTCTGCAGTGATGATGGACAGACCACGTGAACCAGGTTCAACACACATGTGACAATGATACACATACACAATGTACACAACTGCAACACATGTGACAATGATCATGATGATATACATGTACCATGTACACTACTGCAACACATGTGACAATGATACACATGTACCATGTACACTACTGCAACACATGTGACAATGACTGCAACACATGTGACAATGATACACATGTACCATGTACACTACTGCAACA